CACTTTCTCGACACCACAGGGGGTGCGCAGGGGGTGGTCTCTCAGCTCGGCCCTATCCACGACACTGGCGCAAAGGCTAGCAGGCGTGGCACTTTCTCGACACCACAGGGGGTGCGCAGGGGGTGGTCTCTCAGCTCGGCCGCTATCCACGACACTGGCGCAAAGGCTAGCAGCGTGGCACTTTCTCGACACCACAGGGGGTGCGGCAGGGGGTGGTTCTCTCAGCTCGGCCGCTATCCACGACACGGGCGCCAAAGCCTAGCAGGCGTGGCACTTTCTCGACACCACAGGGGGTGGGCAGGGGGTGGTCTCTCAGTTCGGCCGCTATCCACGACACTGGCGCAAAGCCTAGCAGGCGTGGCACTTTCTCGACACCACAGGGGGTGCGCAGGGGGTGGTCTCTCAGCTCGGCCGCTATCCACGACACTGGCGCAAAGCCTAGCAGGCGTGGCACTTTCTCGACACCACAAGGGGGTGCGCAGGGGGTGGTCTCTCAGCTCGGCCGCTATCCACGACACTGGCGCAAAGCCTAGCAGGCGTGGCACTTTCTCGACACCACAGGGGGTGCGCAGGGGGTGGTCTCTCAGCTCGGCCGCTATCCACGACACTGGCGCAAAGGCTAGCAGGCGTGGCACTTTCTCGACACCACAGGGGGTGCGCAGGGGGTGGTCTCTCAGCTCGGCCGCTATCCACACACTGGCGCAAAAGCTAGAGGCGTGGCACTTTCTCGACCACCAGCTCGGCGGCTATCCACGACAAGGCGCAAGCTCTAGCAGGCGTAGCAGGCGTGGCACTCGCGACACCACAGGGTGTCTCTCAGCTCGGCCGCTATCCAAGACACTGGCGCAAAGGCAGGCGGGTGCGCAGGGGGTGGTCTTTCAGCTCGGCCGCTATCCACGACACTGGCGCAAAAGGCTAGCAGGCGTGGCACTTTCGCGACACCACAGGGGGTGCGCAGGGGGTTGTCTCTCAGCTCGGCCGCTATCCACGACACTGGCGCAAAGCCTAGCAGGCGTGGCACTTTCTCGACACCACACGGGGTGCGCAGGGGGTGGTCTCTCAGCTCGGCCGCTATCCACGACACTGGCGCAAAGCCTAGCAGGCGTGGCACTTTCTCGACACCACAGGGGGTGCGCAGGGGGTGGTCTCTCAGCTCGGCCGCTATCCACGACACTGGCGCAAAGCCTAGCAGGCGTGGCACTTTCTCGACACCAAAGGGGGTGGGCAGGGGTGGTCTCTCAGCTCGGCCGCTATCCACGACACTGGCGCAAAGCCTAGCAGGCGTGGCACTTTCTCGACACCACAGGGGGTGCGCAGGGGGTGGTCTCTCAGCTCGGCCGCTATCCACGACACTGGCGCAAAGCCTAGCAGGCGTGGCACTTTCTCGACACCACAGGGGTGCGCAGGGGGTGCTCTCTCAGCTCGGCCGCTACCCACGACACTGGCGCAAAGCCTAGCAGGCGTGGCATTTTTCTCGACACCACAGGGGGTGCGCAGGGGGGGTGGTTTCTCAGCTCGGCCGCTATCCACGACACTGGCGCAAAGCCTAGCAGGCGTGGCACTTTCTCGACACCACACGGGGTGCGCAGGGGGTGGTCTCTCAGCTCGGCCGCTATCCACGACACTGGCGCAAAGGCAGCAGCGTGGCACTTTCTCGACACCACAGGGGGTGCGCAGGGGGTGGTCTCTCAGCTCGGCGCTATCCACGACACTGGCGCAAAGCTCGGCCGCTATCCACGACACTGGCGCAAAGCCTAGCAGGCGTGGCACCTTCTCGACACCACACGAGGTGCGCAGGGGGTGGTCTCTCAGCTCGGCCGCTATCCACGACACTGGCGCAAAACCTAGCAGGCGTGGCACTTTCTCGACACCACAGGGGTGCGCAGGGGGTGGTCTCTCAGCTCGGCCGCTATCCACGACACTGGCGCAAAGCCTAGCAGGCGTGGCACTTTCTCGACACCACAGGGGGTGCGCAGGGGGTGGTCTCTCAGCTCGGCCGCTATCCACGACACTGGCGCAAAGCCTAGCAGGCGTGGCACTTTCTCGACACCACAGGGGGTGCGCAGGGGGTGGTCTCTCAGCTCGGCCGCTATCCACGACACTGGCGCAAAGCCTAGCAGGCGTGGCACTTTCTCGACACCACAGGGGGTGCGCAGGGGGTGGTCTCTCAGCTCGGCCGCTATCCACGACACTGGCGCAAAGCTTTGCAGCCGTGGCACTTTCTCGACACCACAGGGGGTGCGCAGGGGGTGGTCTCTCAGCTCGGCCGCTATCCACGACACTGGCGCAAAAGGCTAGCAGGCGTGGCACTTTCTCGACACCACAGGGGGTGCGCAGGGGGTGGATAGAACAGATATATATATATATATATATATATATATATATACATACATGTATATATATATATATATACATACATACATAAACAAACACATAATATTTAAATTAAGTATGTGGGGTTCCTCGGTAGCGTAATTACTCAAGACTGGGGCCCTCGTTTCGGCGTCGCCTCTGGGGGGTTGCCAAGAGTCCCTGTTGAACCTTAATTGTTCAATAACTATCATCTATGGGCAGCGTAGATAATGTGGAGGAGGAGGAGAAGAAAGAAGGAGGACGGATGACTTCCAGGACCTCCAAGGATCGAGGGTCGAAGGGTTGACCTCAGGGATTCCTTGAGAGGGTGTGGAGGGGCAGGTTGAGGATGCGAGCATGGGAGCGGCATCGCCTGGGGGCGTGGACGTTCAGGGTCGCGCGCCGGGGCCGCAGGATGGCGGCGTAACAGTTCGAACGAGGAGTAAGAACCACCTCGCCCTCGGAGGTACTGCTACTACAACTACTCATCCTTCCTCCCCCTCCTTTTCCTCCTCCAGCCTCCCCCTCCTCCTCCTCCTCCTCTCCCTCTTCCTCTCCCTCATCTTCCCTCCCCTCCTCGTCCTCTTCGTCCCCCTCCGAGATGCGGGGCGTGCGCGAGGCGATTGCCATGGCGATGTGCCGCGCGAGCTGTGGACGTCGAAGTTCCTCGGAAGAGGCGGTTGCAATGCTCTCTTGGGCGGGGTATTTGGGCGAGGGATTATTGGGCCCCGCGCGCCTGAAAAATCCCCCATGATGGGGTGCGGTGTCCAGAAGGACGCATGTGACATGTGGAAGCATGGCGCGCGATGGTAAACCGATGTCGTCGCTGTCGCTGTAGTTTGGGGCCCCGCGGCGAAGTTCGAGCAGGATGATTGACCCTGGTAACAGACCGGCGCGACAACAAGAACGGTCGATGACGACGCCAACGACAAGAAAAACAACCATTTCAGAAATCGTCCTTTCCTGTCGTTTTGCCGGCCCCGTGGTCAACGAGCCCGGGCGGGGCAAACGCAGTCGGCGAAAACGCCGAGCGCGCAAAACGCTAATGCGAGCGACGGGAACAACAGACACGAACAGAGCAGCGACGCCAACAACACGGCCGGCATCAACAGCAACGGCAGCAAAGGCACCAACATCAACGCGCACAGCGCCAATCACAACATGATTCGATGTAAAAGCGCTCTTCGCATCCGTGCTTGGTTAATGAGCCCCTGGCTCGGTGTGGTCGGATGAAAACACGAACCGTCAACAATGCTATCAAATTATATGATCCGCGCAGCAGTAGCAGCAACAACACCACCAATACTTAACGGACAGCAGCAACAACCCAATTACAATAGCGACATTGAAATCCACAAATAACACACAACCACACCACCAACAATGCCGCCATAAGATTTCGCCGCCCCGCAGGGGTATTCCGTGACATACGAACGCCGCTCCCGAGACGACCTCAATATTGCCTTAAGATGACCCTTGTGAACGCTAGTTGGCCCCAAGAAAGACGGCCCAGATATAGATCCAATGTGGTTCCGATGGGTTTCACCCTTCTGTCCTTGCTGTTGGCTTGGGTCAATAGGAAGGATGGGGGTGCTGGCCTCCTGCATCCTCGTCGCCGTCCTTTTCCTCGTCTCCCTCTTCCCCGTCACCTTCGTCGTCGTCGTGTTCGCCCTTCGCCTGGCCCCCCCCGGGTCCATACATAGCATAAAACCCATACCCCCGAAACACATCGAATACATAGTTTTTTCGGATCGCATGCTCCTCATCGTCATCAGCACCAGCATCACCACAAAAATCATCATCATCATCAGCACCATCATCAGCGCCACCACCATCTTCATCATCTTCAGCACCATCATCATAACCGCTCTAATCGTCATCATCACCACCACCATCATCATCATCACCTCATCATCGCCGCCGCCATCATCAGCAGCATGACCAACACCACCATCGAGGAAAAGGCCCACCCAGGCAGGCCGAATGAGGAAATCTGAACGGGTTCCCTCGACATTGGCATTCGAGTGTGCCGCAGTAGTCCCCAGTTGGAAAGGTGTTCGAGGCATCGAGGATCAAGGGACGAGTTCGATTCGACCGATCCGGTTCGATACCGCTTTTCGGTCGGTCTCATCCGAGACGATTCCGACATCCTGACGATCCGATGCGGCCCGATGCTCGCATGGCGCTGGTGTGCATCCTGGCGGGGCCGATTCCGTGCCGTTGCAGCCCGATCTGGTGCGTGCCACTGTCCCGATCCCATCCAAGTTCTCGAGTCGATGCTTGCGACTTCTGGGGTTTCCACGGCTGGATGCCCTCTTCGAAGTTGTGGCCAAAGCGCGCACATGGGCAGGTCTGGGGTTCGGCTCGGGCCGCCGAGCTCGGATCCGTGGCGGCTTGTAAACATGGTGCCAGATGGTTTGCACAGTTCCTGGGCCTGGGGGGCTGTTTCCAAGCCTCGGGGTTGTCAAGCGACGATCCCGGATGAAAAGCGGGCTCTCGCGAAGGGGTCGAGAGATCTCCAGGGGCCACCGACTCGAAAAGCTGGGGTCGTCGGATATCGCTTGTCCCGTTGCATACCTTCTCGGTTCTTGTCCGTTCTCGGTTTCGAGTGATTTCCATGAGGATGCTGTGTCGCCGGGCCGACGCAGGCGACCCCTTCCCGCCCCCCTTTGGGTTGCGGGCAGACACTTACTTCTCCGGCAAGATGCTCGCAAGGCTCGCGAGGCTCGTGGTAATCGCGGACGAGCTGGGCGAGGCCAAGGAGATGTCCCAAGGGTGTGGGATTCTGAGTGAGTATGGTGCTGATCAGGTCAGGACGAGATGCAGGAGGAGGCTGAAGTGGACATGGAGGCGGAGGGAAATTAATTGGAGGATGCAGAGGATGGGAAATAGGGGAGCATGTCAAGCCAGGTGCGCTCGCGCCGCATCTGGCGTCTTACCCCGCCCACCCATCTCTTCCCATTGCGCAGATTGCTCTTGTCCTTGGACTCGTGGCATGACGGACCCGGATTTCCCCCAAAGACCCCATCGTGTGATGCGTACACGGAAAGGGGGAGTTGCTTACGTAGGAGGAGAAGGAGGAGGAGGAGCAGGAGCAGGAGAAGCAGGAGGAGCAGGAGGAACAGGAAAACGATGAGGAAGGAGGAGGACGAGGACGAACAGCAGCAGCAGCAGCAGCAGCAGGAATTGGAGTGGAAGGAGCGGGAGGAGCTGGAGGACCAAAGGAAGGCGAAGGAGGCGAGAGGAGGGGCGCAACACCCGCGCTGGGGCGAGAGTACCATTCTTAATGACGGGAGCCAAAACAAGGATCCTGAAATGAGGCCCACGCTGCAGCGGGAGCACCCTGTTGGAAGGACCGGAAACGTTCGAAGTTTGGGTGGGAGAACACAAACACAGGAGAAACATATATAATGCAGACCCAGCCTTTGTGTAAAGAGCATACGCAGAGGGGCGCGTGACCCTCAGGACGTCTTCGGGGAAGAGAGGAGAGTACCCTGCATTTGTGGATGGGGGAAGAGGAAGAGGCGGAAATCGAGGGGGATAAGGATTAGCAGAAGGAGGGGCAGGCGGAGGAGGGCGAGGAGGTAGAGCATGGAGGAGGAGGAGGGAGGAGGAGGAGGAGGAGGAGCGGGACCTGCTTCGGAGCCGCGTCGTCGGCGTGCTTCTCCTCGCCCTTCCTCCCCCTCTCTCTTGTCCGGAACCGCATTTCTGGGAAGCGCGGGCTCTCCTCCTTTTGTTCCTCCCCCTCCCCCCCTCCTCCTCCTCCTCCTCCTGCTCCTCCTCCTCTCCTCCTCCTCCTCCTCCTCCTCCCCCTCCTCCTCCTCCTCCCCCTCCTCCTCCTCCTCCTCCTCCTCCTCCTCCTCCTCCTCCTCCCCCTCCTCCTCCTCCTCCTCCTCCCCCTCTCCCTCCTCCCCCTCCCTCCTCCTCCTCCTCCCCCTCCTCCTCTCGACCCCCGGGCGGCCGCCGCGCCGGCCAGGGCTCTCCGCGTGCCTCTCGCTCCCAACCCCCTCGTTGTGCCCCTTGGCCTGGCGCGCGCCGAGCCGCGGGCACCCCGCTGGGGCCTGCCGCGCGGGCGCCCGGCCACCCTCCCCGGGCACCCAAAAACTTGGCAGCGCTCGGACGTGTGCAGTTTTTTTCTTCGGCGAGGACCAGCGAGGAGCAACCTTTTGATCATATGGCGAGGGAGCCACGCACGACACCGAGAAAAGCACGGGGAATGGACGTCCGAGCGATGGCCAGAGAACACAAAAGAAGCGTGCACGTCACTTCTCGGAGCTCGGCGTGGCGTTCTTGGGCCAGCGCCGGGGCCTTCCTGGCGGCTCCTCCCGGGAGCTCGGTGGAACAGTCCTGGGAACGCGAAGGGAGACTAAGGATGAAGAGCACGAATAAGAATACTAACAGTAATAATAAGAAGGAGGAGGATACGAATAAGAAGAATAATAATAACAAATAATAATAATAGTAGTAGTAGTAATAATAATACTAATAATCATCATCATCATCATAATCATAATCATAATCATAAGCACGGCATGAAGCTAAACTTTCGGAGCTCCTCGCGGACTTCCAGGATCGGTGCTGGGGCCATCCTTGCGGCGCCTCCAGCGCCGCCCCTGGCGCGCTCCGTGCGCCAGGGAGACGGGGTCCGGCGCCGATCCAAGTAATCCGTGCGGGGCTCTGAGAGTTTGTGCTTATGCCGTTTTTGTTGATCTGCTCCCCCTCGTCGCTACAGTGGAAGCCCATGCCAAGAAACGCCCTGCTTGCCTCCAGGATGCCCAGGGTTTCTTGGGCTTCGATGGTTTTGCTATGGAAAGCGTGACGTCCCCACACCAAAAATCAATGGACGTCCTGGGGTTTCAGGGTTGGTTTTCTTTTGGAAGGTTTCTTGTGGTCGAGCTCCTACTTCACAGGACGCCCAGCGCCTGGAAGTTCAAGCCGCATGTTTTTTGGCCCCGCGGGGTACCAGCCTCACCCCAGCTCAGTTAGTCCTCGAGCCCCGCTTTCGGCCGCGAGAGCACGCGCCCCTGGCCTGGATGCCGAACGCCCAGCAGGCCCCGGGCCCTCCACCCGCAAGCCGCGCCGATGGCATTGATCGGCGCGGTGCCCAGCGGGTTCGTCCTACCCTTGTTCGAAGAAGGGAAGAACACCATAAACACAACCTTTTGGCGCTCTGCGCGGATTTCTTCGATCCGCGCTGGGCTTCTACATAACCTCTGCTCCGCCAGAGTTCATCCAGCAGCACGACTGCGCCCTGGGAGGGGCCATTACGCCCTAAGAGGGCGGGGCCACCTCTCGTTGTCGTGCTCCTTTTTCGAATTCCCACGTGATCGTCTTTCGGACTCATCCTTCCAGCAGTGCCGTAGTCGGGGGGCATGAATAAGTCACGTGGCGGATGGGCCCAGCTGGGGCCGGCTTCGTTCACCAGACGCACCACGCGACGACAAATGTCTCCTGGGGGCGTCTCGGGTGGGGTCGGCTTCGACCGCCAGAGCGGAGCTTTCGCGCAGGATCCTCAAGTGATTCTGCAGGATGACAAAATCGACTCAGACACAAATGCACGTCCACTGCGATGTAGAAGTGATAGAAATTAAATGGAGGTGCAGACGAAAACCCATATTACAAAATGCTATAGGGGATCCGGGCGTTTTCGTGCATTTATATGTTTTTTCCTGGGCCCCTTGAATTATTGGCAGTGTCTGCCCCCCTCCTCCCCTACCCCCGCCTTCTCCACATATCCCCTGCGTCTTGAAAAATGACCATCCTGGGGTGTTGGCTCCTCGTTTTGAAACGACAGCGCCCCGCGTCTCACTCCTCCTTCCTCCTCCTCCCTCCTCATCCCTGCCTCTGTCTCTCCCGCCCAGCACAGCGTTTCGTGGCCCCATAGGGAGCTCCACCTAAGGCCCCAGTGGCGGTGTCCACTTGCGGTCCCCCCACCCAGCACAGCGCTTCGTGGTCCCATAAGGAGCAAAACCTCAGGCCCCAGTGGCGGTGTCCACATGCGCCCCCCCCCACCCACCCCGCGCAGCGCTTCGTGGCCCCATACGATGCTCCACCGAAGGCCCCAGTGGCGGTGTCCACATGCGTCCCCCCAACCAGCACAGCTTTCCGTGGCCTCGGCGGGAGCTCCACCTATGGCCCCAGTTGCGGTGTCCACATGCGTCCCCCCCCCACCCAGCATTGCTTTTCGTGGGCCCACAGGGAGCTCCAGCTAAGGCCCCAGTGGCCCCAGTGGTGGCGGTGACCACATGCGCCCCCCCCACCCAGCAGAGCGTTTCGTTGCCCCATACGGAGCTAGCTCTACGTGAGGCCCAGTGGCGGTGTTCACATGCATCTCCCCCACACAGCACAGCGTTGCGTGGCTCCACAGAGAGCTCCACCGAAGGTCCCAGTGGCGCTCATGCGTCCCCCCCCCCCGCGCAGCACAGCATGTCGTGGCCCCATAGGGAGCTCCACCGAAGGCCCCAGTGGCGGTTTCCACATGCGCCCCCCCCACCCAGCACAGCGCTTCGTGGCCCCATACGGGAGCCAAACCGAAGGCCCCAGTGGCGGTGTCCGCATGTGCCCCCCCACGCAGCACAGCGTTGCGTGGCCCCATCGGGAGCTCCACCTAAGGCCCCGGTGGTAAAATTCGCATGCGTCTCCCCCGCCCAGCACAGCATTTCGTGGCCCATACGGAGCTCCACCGAATGCGATGCCCATAAATGTGCTACTCACAGCTGCGTATGGTTGGATCCTTCGCCAGGCTAATTTGTTTTTCAATTCTAGGCCTCGGGAGGCCGTTTGCGGGCCTCGGGGTAGTCAGAAGACGACTCGGAATGAAGAGCTCGTCTCTCCTGGAAGGGGTCGCCAGACCCAGGGTGGTCGTTAGAGCAAAGGCCAGGGCCGCGGAGGTACATTTCCCCGTGCACTACGCTCTCGCCGTATTTTTCTGCACCCATTCCCGCGCATCATCATCATCATCATCATCATCATCATCATCATCATCATCATCATCATCATCATCATCATCATCATCATCATCATCATCATCATCATCATCATCATCATCATCATCATCATCATCATCATCATCATCATCATCATCATCATCATCATCATCATCATCAACACATCAACATCAACATCAACATCATCATCAGCAGCAGCAGCAGCATCAGCATCAGCACCATCATTATCACCAGCATCAGCATCAACATCATCATCAACATCATCATCATCATCACCATCATCAGCATCATCAGCAGCATCATCTGCAGCATCAGCATCATCATTATCACCATCATCAGCATCAGCATCATCATCATCATCATCATCACCACCATCATGGAGAACAGCACCATCCTCGTCCTCATCATCGTCATCATCATCCCATTACCCCGTCAATCTCATCCGCTGCCCTCTGTCTCTCTCTCTCTCTCTCTCTCTCCGTCTCCCCGTCCGTGTCGCTTGGCGGTTGGCCGACTGGCAAGGAGTCGTACTTCTCCGACATGGTGAAGCGCCTCACTGAGAGGATAGAGGTTCGGTCGCGAGTTGAGCACCTGTCCTTCTTAGCTTTGTGGAAGTCGATGAACGGAGAGGAAGCATGCTGCCGAATAATTCCCAGATGTCTAAAACATGTTTCAAACATGTTCTAAATGTATGTAAGACCATGTTTGAAACATGCTCAGAACTTGTTTTACACGTTTTGAACATAGTTTAGTTCAGTGATGCAGCCAAGACTCTGAAATAAGGACCTCTCTGGGTTCACAAGGCCCCCGAGTTTTCGGGCTGTCCCTTAGATTTGTGTCTCGGGACTTGCTTCTGGCCCAGGCCCACCGTGGCCAGAAAAGCCCCCTCCGCTCCTTGTGGTGCGCTCCTTCTGGCAGCACGGTGACTGTAGGATTGTTAAAGCGTGCATTGTCTTGGCATCCACAATCTTAGCTTTCAGCCAGCGTGATGCATGTCGAAGACCGAACCGGTGGTTTCCAAGGCCCCATGGAGCGGTGACACACCTGCGACGCCCTCGCGCCGTGGCAGGCACCTCAGCGGGGGCCAGCCGAGGGGTGGCTATCACGTAGAGGCACGCGAGGCCCCCTCACAGAACACATGAGACGAATATGACGAATATAGAGGAGGAGGAGGAGGAGGAGGAGGAGGAGGAGGAGGAGGAGGAGGAGGAGGAGGAGGAGGAGGAGGAGGGCAGGACGGGGACGTGCAAAGGTTTGTTCCCTCTTCGAGTTTATTTTTCCTGGGGGGTGGTCTGGGAGGGTCTGGGAGGCTTCGGGATAGCTTTTGGATGGTTTCTGATGTGTTCAGGCGGCTTGTGGAGCCCTGGGCCACTCCGGAAAAAACGATCTCCAGACGCACCGGTGCTGCTTCTGGGGCTCCACGCAGAAAGTCCCGCTGGGACCAGGAGGGACAGCGAGCACGCGGGGGACACCTTTCTTTGCGGAGTGTCCCACCCTCCGCGGGGGGGAAGTAACAGTCACTATCCCGCCCGGAGAAAAATTGTTCATGACTCTCTAGGCCTCCCAGCTGTGGTCGAAGTAGATTGGGTCGCAGAATCGCTCGGCATCGTTGATGCATCGGCGATGCGGCTCGATGCGGAGCTCGATCTTGTCCACGCCGACGGCACCGATGCATCGCCGACGTCGCCGATGCATCGCCGATGCATCTGCTATGCATCGGCGACGTGTCGGCCACGTGGTGCGATCCTCCGGCCCCAGCTCCTCGGACCCCATCTGTCAGGAGGGGGAAACACACACACAGACACAATTAATCGTCCACTCCCAGGAAAATATGGGAAAATATGGGAAGTGGGGGGGAAGATACAAACTTTGAAAATATGGGAAAATATGGGGAAGCCTCTCATTTGTGTCTATTTATTAGTGTGTCCCAGGGCCCCTTCCTGTCCCTCTACAGGGGGATATTCAAAAATAGTAAGAAATAGTCCGGGAATTATTCTTTTAAGTATTTTGTATGCTTCGTCGAATATCCCCCTGTAGGAGGACAGGCCCAGCCCAACTCCTCCTCCTCCTCCCCCTCCTCCTCCTCCTCCTCCTCCTCCTCCTCCTCCTCCTCCTCCTCCTCCTCCCCCCCTCCCCCTCCCCTCCCTCTCTCCCCTCCTCCTCCTCCTCCTCCTCCTCCTCCTCCTCCTCCTCCTCCTCCTCCTCCTTTTCCTCCTCCTCCTCCTCCTTCTCCTCCTCCTCCTCCTCCTCCTCCTCCTCCTCCTCCTCTCCTCCTCCCCCCACCTGGGGGGCCCGCCCCTGCCGAGACGAGCGATACGGGAGGAGGAGGGGAGGGGCGGTGGCGCTGGACCGCCTGGCCTGCCCGACCAAGCCGGGCGTGCCCTGCCCCACACCGCGGGCCAGGCTCTGCCCGGCGGACGCGGCGCCCAGGCAGCAGGGGGCCCTGGGATACACAAGTACATAGACTTAGGTCGGGGAGGAGGGGGGGAGGAAGGGGAGGAGGGGGGAGGATGGGGAGGAGGAGGAGGAGGAGGGGGAAGGAGGAGGAGGAGGAGGAGGAGGAGGAGGAGGAGGAGGAGGAGGAGGAGGAGTTAGGTTGGGCCCGGCCCCCAACAGGGGGATCTTCGACGAAAAACCATACATACTCCCAAACATGCTCAAACGATGCCCAAAAATACCCAAAAACTAGTCCCCGGACTATTTTTTGGGACTGTTTTTGAATATGCCCCCTGTAGAGGGACAGGAATCCAGAGGCCCCCCAGATTGAAGGGACCCTAGGACACACAAAGAAATAGACACAAATAAGAGGATTCCCCACTTCTGGGTTTCTGTCTTCCCCCCACTTCCCATAGTTTCCCATATTTTCAGGGGAATCGACGACTAATTGTGTCTGTGTTTTTCCCTACTGAAGAGTCGCACCGCGCTGAAGTCGGGCCTGTCCCTCCACAGGAGGAAGATTCAAAAATAGTGAAAAAATGGTCGGGGACGATGTTTGTGCTACCGTGTTGGCTATGTTTGAGTATGTTTTTGATTTTTCGTCCAAAAACCGCCTGTAGGGGGACACGCTCGACCTAACACCACGCTTTGTAAGTGCGCACTTCGGTGAACGACGTCCAGAAATCGGTTCAGCAGCGGGCGGGGGACGGGGAGGGGCCGCCTACGCGTAAGAGCGACCCTTCGCCCGAGTGACCTTGGGGTCCCCCGATCGCTGGCCGCGATGGGCAGCAGCGGCTTGTGCGCTTGAGTTTGGCTACCCATGCTCCCCTGCCCCTGAGCCGCGCAATTGCCTGTGCTCAGCTGAAGTAGTCACTTCCCCGGCTGAGCTGAGCTGTCTAACGACGCTCGCTTTAATGCAGCTCCCAGATTATGTAACTACCCAGCGGCATGCGGCAAATCCAACCATCAGGCCAGCGCAGCGTCGACATTCATGCAGGATGGGTCTACCGAGCTCGAAGAAGAGAAGGCGGCATCAACATACGTACGCTGCCGGAGGTCCGCGCGGATTTCCTGGATCGGCGCTGGACCCGCCTCCCTGGCGCGCGGAGCGCGCCAGTGGCGGCGCCGGAGGCGCCGCCAAATGGGCCCAGCACCGATCCTGGAAGTCCGCGAGGAGCTCCGAAAGTTTTGCATCATGCCGTGCTTCTTATTTTTCTTCTTCTTATTGTTTTTCTTATTCGTACTATTGTTCTGATCATTTTTAGGTTTAGTATTGCCATTATTTATCTTCGTCTTCTCAGAACTGTTCCACCGAGCTCCCCCGAACAGACTTAGTATAGGACCATCGTGGAGCCGTCTGGGCAGAAGCGCCACGATGCTGCAGCGGGGCGCGCCCATCGCGTTGCATGGTCGTTGCGCTGCCTCTCTGGGGGGGGGACCTCCTGCGGCGCCTGGGGCCCCCTCGGGGGGCCTCTTGGGCTCCTCGGGAGGGCCTCTCGGAGGCCTGTTGCCGGAGGAGGAACCGAGGCATGGTTGCCGCCACCCCTGCCTCGCTTTCGCCTTTTTGGGTCTCAGGGGCTGCCCTCGTCGCCACGGCTGGATTCGCTTCGAAATTCTGGTCAGAACGCACTCTTGCAGAGGTGCGAGGAGTCGGCGGTATCGGTACCTTTTCGTCTCCCCATGTTGGGGCATTTGGGGGCCGTTTTGGATGCCACCGGTCTTGGGGCTGTTTCGGGGCGGGGGCTTCTTGGGAGCCTGAGGGCAGTCTTAAGGATCTGAAGTATTCCCGAGGCCATCTGATACTGAAATGTTTTGGAAATGAAAAGTTGGTTGTTCAGCTTTGCCTTAAGTCGGGCGTGTCCCTCTACAGGAGGAATATTCAAAAGGAATCAAGAATAGTCATGGGACGATTTTGTGAGTATGTTTGACTATCGCTGCATATGTGTTGAGTGTTTTCCATTTTTCGTCCAAGATCCCGCCTGTAGGAGGACACGCCCGACCTGAGCTTTGCCTCCCAGAGCCTTGCTGGAGGGCTCCGTGGGCGCACGTTGGGGGCATCCTGGGCCTCTCTGCATTCCACTGGCGGGGCAACCTTGGGCCATCTTGGGGTCACCTATCGAGATGGGGTCGGGGTGAGGGGGGCACCGGTGGAACATCGCAGAAGCCCTACCAGATGGGCAACAGGAGCTGTAGCATACCCCAGGCGTCCTGGGGGCACGGTGGCCGATGGGCGCGGGCACCTCTGATCCCCCTTCCCCTGGAGTTGGGGCCGCCGTGATCACTTCGCACGCTCCAGTCCCTGCCGCCCTCCCAGTCTCCAGATCCCTGCACCAGCGGCACCGTCTCAGCACGAGCAGCGTTCGGCTTTGCGTCCGGATGTCGATGCCAGTGTCGCCACAGGGGTCCTCGGCTCACACTGTCAACACACGGTGCATCTCCCGATCTCTTAGCGGTGCACCCGCCGATGGCGGCTTGCCGCTGCCAGACAAATCTGGGTGCGCAGGCTGCGCTGCTGCGCGGAGGCTCGCCAGGGGCCGGGCTGCCTGGAGAGCACAGGGCCCAGGGAATCCTGGCCGAGGGTCCGCGGCGGGAGTTGGGCCACCGTTGGCTGAGCTGGGACGAGGTTGTCAGACGTTGGTGGGGAAACCGAACCCAGAGATCCAACGTATTGAAAAAATCAAGACGGCGGTTGTTCTGATTTTTCGGCCTCGGGGGGGGCCCTCGTCGGGCCCCGGGACCGTGAAAAAACGACTCGGGATGAGAAGCCTGTCTCGGGGAATGGGTCGAGACTTCCAGGGACACCATATTTAAAAAATCACCCCATCGGATCTCTGGGAAAGGTACCGATACCGCTACCCCCCGGACCTCTCCCAGGGCGCGTTCTGACGAGGATTTCGAGGCGAATCCAGCGGTGCCGACGAGGGCCTCCCAGGAGGCCCAAAAAAGGGTAACACGGGCGAGGGGGTAGAAGTACACATTGTCCATCTCTAGTTCTTCACAAGTTCTGTGATTTTTAGGGGGCCAGGATCCTTTCATTTCTAATTGTTCTATCCTGGGCCTCTTCCTGGCCACTAGGGGGGCCAGGACTAATTAGAAACGAGCACGATTAGAAATGAACGACGTGTATGGGTACCTTTTCCTCTTCCGAGTTGGGGTGCCATCTGGGGGCTGCGGTGGAGTACCGTGCGCGGGCTGTGGAGGGCCAGCGAGCCCCAGCGGATGGCTTATACACGCGAGCGCCACGGGCACTTGGAGGCAGAGCTTCTAGCAGCCCCCGCCCCTCGATGCCAGCACTGCTCTCCGCACGGGTGGCTCTGGCTTCGAGGCATACCCAGAGATGCAACTCATTGATCAAATCAGGACGGAGGTTCTTCGCATCATTCGGCCTCGACGGGCCCTCGCCGGGCCACGTGACCGTGAAAAAATCTACTCAGAATGGAAAACCGGTCCTGGGGAAAGGGTCGAGACTTCCGGGGACCCCGTATGGGAGAAATCACGACATCGGATCGCACCCCAGTGTTGATCTGGACGGTCCTGGGAAAAAATCGGGTTTGGTGCAAGTTGATCTGGACGGTCCCGGTCCCTGGTGCAATATATCTCGTGCAAAGATTTGTGTGGTTGCAATACCTTTGGGGCGTACATTCTGGGGCGCAGATGTATTGCTGGATCTTCGCGTGCACTGCCTCAGCTGCAATACGCTGCAATCTGCAAGTTTCTGGCGCAGCGCATGTGCGATCCAATTGCCCCAAAAATCCATGGCGCCACCCCCTTGCAGTCGGACCCCCTCTTGGGCCACCAGAAATGAGCAGGCGAAAACCCACCCCCACCCCCAGCCCCGACCCTATTTCCGAACCCTCGATCCAGGGGTCGGGACTGGGGGTGGGGGTGGGTTCTCCTTGGCATCGCTCGGAAGTGTGCATTTTTCCTTCGGCGAAGACCATCGGGGAGCATCCTTGAACATTTGGCCAACAAAAATACGCACGAAACCAAAACAACACAGGAAATGGACGTCCGAGCGATGGCCATTCTCGGGGTCCAGGAATAGAGAAAAGCCACCCCCACCCTCAGTCCCGACCCCCCGGATCGCGGGCTCGGGGGTGGGCGTCGGGACTGACTGGGGGTGGGGGTGGGTTTTCTTACGAGCCTGGGACATATCACTATCCCTATGCTGGGCACCTCCTCATCACGATGCCAATCTTAGGGATTCCCTTATGTTTTGAGGGCGAATCCCTAAGATTGCCATCGCCTTTTGGCGTGTCAATCTTAGGGATAGGGACACGTTCGAGGCTGGTAACTTTCGCCTTCTCAAAAAAATCGGGGGAGCATGCTGCGCCGCAGGGGATCCGAGCGCCTGCGTGTCCGCGAGCGGCCCCGCGGGCCCCGCCCTGCCCGGTGATGGGGCGCTCGCGAGGCCTGCCGCATGGGCCGCCTATGGGATGGCGATCGGGTGCGACGGCCTGGGCCGCGATCCTGTCTCTATGGGCGGGCGGTGTCACAGAGATCCAACGCATTGAACAAAAAAATAAGGCGCAGGTTTTTCGTATGTTTCGGCCTCGAGGGGCCCTCGCGGGGCCCCGGGACCGTCCAAAAACGACTCGGGGTGAAAAACCGGTCCGGGGGAATGGGTCGAGACTTCCAGGGACCCCCGCATTGGATCTCTGGGATTTGGGGGCGACGCACATGGGGTGGGGAAGGAACAGGGCCCCCTATAATAGGGAGCCCTGTAGTGGTGCCCTGAAGGAGCCCGCATGGTGGGGTGGCCCAAGTTGGTGGGGGGCGGCCCCGATGGTGCCCCACAGAGGGCCCCTTTGTGGGCACCAACTGGCTCCAGAAGGGGCTCCAAGGGGCCCCCGTTCAGGGCCCTTCTCTCAGAGCCCCGAATCATCAGGGGTAACTCGGGTCAGGGCTAACTCGGGTTCTTGTTTCGGGATTCCGAACCCGAGTTACCCCAGACCCGAGTTACCCCGGATAATTCGGGCGTCCAGAGCCCCGAATCATCAGGGGTAACTCGGGTCAGGGCTAACTCGGGTTGGTTTTGTCGAGATTCCGAACCCGAGTTACCACGGACCCGAGTTACCCCGGATAACTCGGGCGCCCAATTCTCTCTCCCCCACATGAACCCAGAGATCCGACGTGGTGATTGTTTCAATGCGGGGTCCCTGGAGGCCTCGACCCATTCCCCAGGACCGGTTTTTCATCCCGAGTCGTTTTCCCCCCCCTTTGCCACCCCTGGCCCGGGTTCGATCCGCTCCGCTTCGCCGGCATCGGCCGGGGCCCGCCGCAGAGCCGGGCGCGGCGGCCAGAGCCTGCCTCTCTGCACCCCGGCGGCCCAGGCGTCCGACGAGGCGACTTTTCTTTCCACGCGCGGTCACGGGGGTCCCGAACCCTTTCCGAGAGGCAGCTTCCCAGAGATCCAACGCATTGTAAAAATCAAGACGGTTTTTTTTCTGATTTTTCTGCCTCGGGGGGCCCTCGCCGGGCCCCATGGACCCTCAGAAAACGACTCAGGATGAAAAACTGGTCCTGGGGAATGGGTCGAGACTCCCAGGGACCCTGGATTGAAAAAATCGCGACATCGGATCTCTGGGTTACTTGCCTCGATACCCCCGTTTTGATACGCGACGCGTCCCGTGCTCAAGTACCGTCCGCATCAAGATTTTGCGCGTTGGCTCCACGTGTTGGCCCTCATCTTGGCGAGCGCATCGGCCAGATCTACGTTATCAGTCTACGTGTTCAGCTTCGTATCGATGCGTTACGTGTTGCGTGTTGCGTACCAGGGCAGCTAAGAGAGGCAGTCCTCCGTTCCGGTCTCATTGCCGATGGCCCCGGCGCCCGGTGACGGGCCCCAGAGATTGGAATCGAAGCAGACCGGCGAAATTCGAGAACGCCAGAGCGTCGCAGGGTTGGGGCCCTGGTGTTTTATCGGGCCATATAACCCCAGAGGTCCAACGTTTTGCACAAATCACGACGGAGGTTTTTCGCACTGTTCAGCCTCGAGGGGCCCTCGCTGGGCCCCGGGACCGTAAACAAAATTTCTCGGGATGAAAAATTGGTCCTGGGGAATGGGTCGAGACTTCCAGGGACCCCGTATTGACGTATTGACAAAGTTCAGGAGGGAAAGAAACACACAGACACAATTAGTCGCCGACTCCAAGAAAATATAAGACAATATGGGAAGTGGGGGGGGGAAGACGAAAACCAAAAAAAATCGGGGGAAAAATATAGGGAATAGCTTAACTTGTATGTATTTCTCTGCGTGTCCCCCTGGCCCCTTCAGTATTGACGTGTTGACGAAGTCACGACATCGGATCTCTGGGACTCGGGCCTCCGGCGGCCCTTCGAGGCGATCCGGGCCTCCGTCCCCCCCCCCGCGGGAACGCCCTCGACGAGGCGCAGCCGCCGCCGCCGCGAAGCTCCCCGGGGCCGGAAGGCCTCCAGGAACCAGCGGACGCCCGAACGCCTCAGCCCCGGGGAGGGAGGAGAGCGGCCCCCAGAGATCCAACGTATTGAAGAAATCAAGACGCAGGGTTTCCGTATTCTTCGGCCTCAACGGGCCCTCGCCGGGCCCCGGGACCCTCAAAAAACGACTCAGGATGAAAAAACCGGTCCTGGGGAATGGGTCGAGACTCCCAGGGACCCCGTATTGAAAGAATCACGGCATCGGATCTCTGGGTCCTCCGAGAAGCGCCGGGATCGAGAGCATCCTGTGGCCCTTCTGACACCGCTCGACACAAATCGCCGATCGCCACACGCGTTGCCGGATGCGACAGCTCGTACCGAACGGGCCGGATCGACTGAATGTCAGATTGCTCCATAGCCTTTCACGAAACACCGAACGGCTGCCCACTCTCACAACCCAGCAGATCACTGATGGACCTAAGCAATCACCTAACAAACATCCGAATGGAGGAGGAGGAGGAGGAGGAGGAGGAGGCGGAGGAGGAGAAGGAGGAGGAGGAGGAGAAGGCGGAGGAGGAGCCTCCTCTGGGGGCGCCCGGCCTGCAGGTCTGGCTCCGCGAGGACGCGGAGGCGCCCTTCGTCTACGACGCCGCCTGGGGCGGCCTCGTGCCGCGCCCTCGGCGGCGGTCCCGCGGGCCCCAGGGGCGGTCGCGGGGGCGGGCCCTCCGAGGCTCGGGGGGCGGCAAAGCCAGAGATCCAACGTCGTGATTTTTTCAGTGCGGGGTCCTTAGAAATCTCGACCCATTCCCCAGGACCGGTTTTTCGTCCCGGGTCGTTTTTGGACGGTCCCGGGGCCCGGCGAGGGCCCGTCGAGGCCAAAAAAATACGAAAAACTTATGTCTTGTTTTTGTTGAATGCGTTGGATCCCTGGGAAGAAGGGGGGATGACCAGGGGTCCAGTCGGGCCTGTCCCTTTACAGGGGGAATACCCAAAAATAGTCCAACAATCGTCAGGGGACGATTTTGTTTGACTATGTTTGCCCATTCGGGGGGTATTATCTTGGAGTATTTTTCATTTTTCGCCCAAGATCCCCCTGTAGGGGGACACGCCCGACTTAAACCTGGGGTGTGTGGATCTCATGGCGGGGGCCAGGATTTCATGGCGCCTCCTCTTATTTCAATGCGTCCCCGGCTCGCCCCCCCCCCCCATTGGGCCGCGCACATGCCGCCGGCCATGATTTGCGCCCCCCCCCTCTTGGACGCCCTCGCCTTGGCCGCCCCCGATCCGAGGCCGTGCGGCGCCTCTCGAGCAGTGGCGACGCGTCCTGGCTTGCCTAGGCCCACCAAATAGACTTTCGGTGGCAGAGCATGGGAGCCCTGGTGTACCCTCGCAATTCTGTCTTACGCGTCGATTCGCGTCGATTAGCGTCCTGGGGGTCGATGAGATAGCGCCGATTTAGCGTCGGCTGGCATCCATTAGCGTCGGTTTAGCGTCGATTAGCGTCGACCGAGCGTCGACGAGCGTCGATTCGCAAGAGCTGACAGGATGGTATGGGAGACTCCCATGAGTTGCCACCGAAGAAATTTCTAAGAACCCTTTGTGGTTTGCACGGGGTGTTCTCGGAACTTTTCTGGCTCAGACTGCCTTGCTTTTTCCCAACCCTCCTTGGTTGGGTATTCGTTTTGAATAGAGCAGTGTGGTCGCGTCCTTCCTCCTCCCGCCTCTTCCTGTCTTGCCTGCGGGGGGCTGCGATCTGTGAAACTGTCGCCACTTTCGAGGCCTGCTGGGGGGCCCAGCACAGTGAGGGCCACGGGCGGACCCAAATTAGACCTCGCCATCCCTGGGGGGCTGCGATCTGCGAAACTGTCGCCATTTTCGAGGCCTGCTGGGGGGCCCAGCACAGTGAGGGCCACGGGCGGACCCAAATTAGACCTCGCCATCCCTGGGGGGCTGCGATCTGTGAAACTGTCGCCACTTTCGAGGCCTGCTGGGGGGCCCAGCACAGTGAGGGCCACGGGCGGACCCAAATTAGACCTCGCCATCCCTGGGGGGCTGCGATCTGCGAAACTGTCGCCATTTTCGAGGCCTGCTGGGGGGCCCAGCACAGTGAGGGCCACGGCGGATTCAAATTAGACCTCGCCATCCCTGGGGGGCTGCGATCTGCGAAACTGTCGCCATTTTCGAGGCCTGCTGGGGGGCCCAGCACAGTGAGGGCCACGCGCGGATTCAAATTAGACCTCGCCATCCCTGGGGGGCTGCGATCTGCGAAACTGTCGCCACTTTCGAGGCCTGCTGGGGGGCCCAGCACAGTGAGGGCCACGCGCGGATTCAAATTAGACCTCGCCATCCCTGGGGGGCTGCGATCTGTGAAACTGTCGCCACTTTCGAGGCCTGCTGGGGGGCCCAGCACAGTGAGGGCCACGCGCGGATTCAAATTAGACCTCGCCATCCCTGGGGGGCTGCGATCTGCGAAACTGTCGCCATTTTCGAGGCCTGCTGGGGGGCCCAGCACAGTGAGGGCCACGCGCGGATTCAAATTAGACCTCGCCATCCCTGGGGGGCTGCGATCTGCGAAACTGTCGCCATTTTCGAGGCCTGCTGGGGGGCCCAGCACAGTGAGGGCCACGCGCGGATTCAAATTAGACCTCGCCATCCCTGGGGGGCTGCGATCTGCGAAACTGTCGCCATTTTCGAGGCCTGCTGGGGGGCCCAGCACAGTGAGGGCCACGCGCGGATTCAAATTAGACCTCGCCATCCCTGGGGGGCTGCGATCTGCGAAACTGTCGCCATTTTCGAGGCCTGCTGGGGGGCCCAGCACAGTGAGGGCCACGCGCGGATTCAAATTAGACCTCGCCATCCCTGGGGGGCTGCGATCTGCGAAACTGCCGCCATTTTCGAGGCCTGCTGGGGGGCCCAGCACAGTGAGGGCCGGGCAGATTCAAATGAGACCTCGCCATCCCTGCGGGGCTGCGATCTGTGAACCTGTCGCCACTTTCGAGGCCTGCTGTGATCCCCGTTTTCGAAGTGGCTAGGAGTGCTCAGGAATTGTAAATCATCAGCTTTATCAAGCCCTTTTCCTGTAGCCAGTGTCCTGCGAGTCTCCCGAATTCCGTCTGCAGACATATGTAACCCTCGCTCCGTCATCGCCCCCTTATAAAGTATCCTAAACTATTTGCGCCCCGCTTTTGCGCAGGGGTTGGGTACGTCGCCAGGGTAATTTTATCACATGGGGCTCATGTTCCAAGAGCAGCGTTTTGCCATTATGTTTGTTTGGCGGTCTGAGAACGTTTCGTGGCAGGCCCATAGGAATGCTGGGACGGTCGATCCCTGCTCAGGTCTCGGGGGCCCCCGAGCGGTGTGGTGACCGCGTGGCGCTCAGCTCATTTCGCCTGGCCGACCGGGCCCTCCCGACGGATGCCGAAGATTCTGGGCTCGTCGCCCGTGGATCGTTCCCTGCAGGGGAAAAACACCGCGTGGTGAGTTCGTGGGGGCTCGGGGTCGGCGCACGGCTCTGGTGCGCGGGTATCAGCCTCCGCGGAGTGGTGACCACCCAGGGGGGAAAACCGTCCAGACCCCGACAGTTTCTGCGTTCACTGAACGGCCCTGGGCGTTGACCAAACAGCCCTGCCCTCTTCGATTCCTTCCCTGGGTGCGTTTGCCAAACGGCTTCGCTCGTCGGGGTGCTTATGCAGGGGGGATTTTCTGCCGAGTAGACCACAACCCATACATGCGACGTCCTGATTTTTTCGATGCGGGGTCCCTCGAAGTACCGGCCCTTTCCCCTGGACCGGTGTTTTCTGCTGGGCCGCTCCTTCACGGCCTCGAGGCCCGGCGAGGGCCCCCCCGAGGCCGAAATGGGCCCCAAGCCTCCCGCCCGCCCAACCTCCCCTTCTCTCACCCGCCTTGGCCCCGTGGGCGGATGGGGGCGGGGATGGCCAGGGCCCGGCGCAAGTGATCATGCGTTCCCACTATCCCCTCATTGCCTCGGGGGGGCGAGAAGGCTGGCCAGGAGGGTAGGCTGGGTGGCCCCCACCTGGTGTAAGTGATGTTCCCAGAGATCCGACGGGGTCCCAGGAAGTCTCGACCCATTCCCCAGGACCGGCTTTTCATCCTGAGTCGCTTTTTGACGGTCCCGCGGCCCGGCGAGGGCCCCTAGAGGCCGAAAACTGCGACAAAAACACCGTCTTGATTTTTTCAGTGCGTTGGATCTCTGGGTTTCTCGACGGCGCGATCGTGCCTGGGACCGCGCGGTGAGTTCGTGTGGACTCAGCGTCGGCGCACGGCTCCGCGGGGCCCTGCTCGGGCAGGGGTCCCAAGAGGCCGCGCTCGGCGCGCAGGCTCCGCGCGGCGTGAGGCCTCTCCCGCTAATTAGGGCCTCGAGGCCGCCGCGCGGTGCCAACGGGGTCGCCTCGGGGGGTCCTCGGCGGCTCCCGGACACCGAGGCTCCGGGACCGAGGCTCGCGGAGGCTCCTCCTCCTTCCTCCTCCTCCTCCTCCTCCTCCTCCTCCTCCTCCGTTTCTGTATCAGTGGGGTTGTCTGAGGCGGCCCTGTCCCTGTCCCCGTTCCTGCGTGAGGGGTGGCAGGCCTCGGGGCCGCCCTCCCTGGAAGGGTGAGGCGCGCCGCGATGCGGCCAGCCCGCAGTCAGCAAGCATAAGCCGCTGTCCAGGGCTGCCCTCGCGTCCTTCCCGCTCGGCCCGTCCTCGTGGCCGCTCTCGCCGGCCGCGCCCAGCCCGCGGAGCGTCGACGTGGCCGCCCGAGGCCCTGGCGTCCTTGCCGCGCAGCCCTGCTGTGCACGGGTCGGCTGTCAGGGCGGCGGCGGGGCGGGGGCCCGGCACCGCGAGAGGCACAGAGGGGGGGGAGGGGTCCGGCCCCCTGCCCCCGCCACGGCGGACCCCATCCCCCCCCCCCAAGGCCTCCCGAGCAGGAGAGGTGCGGGAGCAGGCCCCCCAAGGCCTCGGAAAAAAAATAGCGAACACCCATGCCGCATGTATCTGTCAACGCTTCCCCCCCCCCCCAAATATTCATCAAAGTTGGCGGTGGGCCCGATGACTTGCATCTCGACCGCAGTCCCCCCCGCGCGTGCCCACTTTGAGGCTGGGGGCAGGGGGGGTGCTTACTCATTGCTTCCCTCTACCGGATGGGAAGCCCGCGCACGGGGACGCCGGGAACCAAAGGCAGGGTGTCCCACAGGAGCGCGCGGCAGCGGGGCGTCGAGCCTCGTAATCGTGCCGCCCGTCCCGGCAGAGAGCATATGCACGACGTGGAGAGGCGGGCCCGAGAAGTCCGTCTCCGGAGGCACGGCTTTGCGCACAGGGTTGATATATCCTCGGGTCTAAAATCGCCGGACTACAGACGCAAGTGTAAAGATACGCACCTGTGCATCGAAGAAGAAGAAGAAGAAAATAATAATAATAATAATACTAATAATAATAATCACCATAATCATAAGAAGAAACAAAAAAGCGGTATACGCATAATTTGTTGTCGCTCCTCGCGGATTTCTAGGATCTGCGCTGGCCCCCCCCCCCAGCGGCGCCTCCAGCGCCGCCCCGTGCGAGCTCCGCGCGCCTGGGAGGAAGCTCCAACGTAGATCCAAGAAATTTGCGCGGAGCGCCAAGAGTTTATATCTATGCGATAAGACGACGAAATGAGCAGCTTCGCATCGCCGACACAAGAAAGCATGGATGCAGGAGGAGGCCAAGATCATGGAAGAGATGGATGAGTTGAGAAGATACTGAAGACCCCATCGCTCCATCGTTCCGCGGCGCTGCGAGGCAGACGAGGACGAAATAACCAGCCTTGCATCGTCGGCACAAAAATGCACTGACCCAGGAGAAGGCGCCAGACCACGGAAGATATGAATTGAAGTTTTGAAGAGATATGCAAGGCTTCATCGCCCCATCGTCGACACCAGCCGCATTGTTCCAAGAGTGGACCCACAACTGTCGGCGATGTTGATGAATACGCGAACCTATGGAAGGTGTGCAGCACCGGCAAGTTGGCACGAAGTGCATTGATCCTGGAGTGGGCCCAAAACCGTGGAAGATGCCGATGAATAGAAGAACTTATGGAAGACGTCCATGACCAGGGCGTCGACACCAAGAGCATGATCCCAGAGAAAACTCGAAACAATAATCAACACAAATGGATTGAGGTAGCTATGGAAGCAATTCCAGCGCCAAGACAGCCTACCACCATTTGACATGTGCAGTTCTAGCCCAGAAACAGAAAACGAGATGGATTCAATAACCCATGGCAGAAGAGCCACGCTACCACGCCGACACCAAATACATTGATCTAGAAGAAGACCCCGAAGCCGTGGATGATATAGCTAAATTGACAGCATGAAGAATGACTTAAATTAAGATAGCGAATCATTGCTTAAGATGTGCCGCACAAGCTCGGAGATGGAGTCGGAAAACATCGGAACACCTTTCTGTTCCCAAGCGTCAGCGTCCCGAGGTTACGCGAGCTTCCCCCCACGCTGAGAGGCGCGTTACGCTATCCGTGCTGCCGGGGCCGCTGCCGCGGCACGCTTAGCAAGCGTTCCCGACGGTAGGACCCTCAAATATCGACGGATAATGCACCCTGATATTACATGTCTGATAGCGCGATTTCTTATCGTGTGTGAGTGTGTGCGTGCGTGTGTCCAGTGTAGCAGCGAGCGAGGGTTTTGTGATGCGTGTTCTCTCTCTCTCTCTCACTCTCTGGATTGTCGTTGTGCGGGGACTGATTATGTGAGTGGTCGTCTGGACCACATGGGATGCACACACACACAAACACACACACATACATCTATATACACACCGCTTTTGCCGCTTCCCACTGCTCCTCCTACCCTTCCTCCTCCTTGGCGCTGAAACGTTCTTGGGGTGAATTCGCATCACTCCGTGATCCATTCATGAAGCCCATGGTGGACAGAGTGACGAGTGGATCGGCAGGATGATCGTCGAGCCTGCCCCTTTCGCCTCCTCCTCCCTCTCTGCAGATATATCCGATGTCTTGATTTTTCCAACGCGGGGTCCCCAGAAGTCCCGACCCACTCCCGGGGACTGGCTTTTCATCTTGGCCAGTTGCTTGACGCTCCCTGGTCCCGGCCAGGGCCTCCAGAAGCCGAAAGCGTGGACAAAATTGCTCGTCTGTGTGTTTCAGGGCGCTGCATCCGTGAGCCACCGGGAGCTGCAGCCGCGAGCGAGCGAGCCCGCGGCGCCTGCGCAGCTCGTGTGGGTGCCTCTACGACGACTGCGAGGGCGAGTGCGGGCCGCGCTGCGCCAACGCGGGGGAGCCGGCGAGCAGCTGCCCTGCGCTGGAGGCGCGAGCTCCGCGGGTGCCGCTGCAGCGGGGCGACACCACCAATCAGGAGGGGAGCAAAAACACACAGACACAATTAATCGTCGATTCCCCAGAAAATATTGGAAAATATGGGAAGTGGGGGGAAGACAAAAACCCAGAAAATATGAAAAAATATAGGGGAATCCTTTTATTTGTGTGTATTTATGTGTGTGTGTGTGTGTGTGTGTGTCCCATGGCCCCTTCATATTAATGGAGAGGAAGCGTGCTGCCAACTAATTTCCAGATGTCTAGAACATGTGTCAAACATGTTTTCAGTATTAGAAACATGTTGGAAACACGTTTAGAACATGCATTACAAAGTTTAAACACATCTGTAATTCAATGATCGGATTGTTAGAGTGTCCATTGTCATGGCATCCACAACGCCAGCGCCCTCGTCTCCACTGAGGCGTGCCGCGCCAGCGGCCCGCACCGCGTCAGCCACCGCGTGAGGTCGCTACGACATCTCGCGCAAGACCCGCTTCTGATCGTCGCTCAGAGGAGCCTGGCGTGGATGCGACACGGGTTCGACGTGGATCCGACGAGTCCGACATGGATTCGGCACCGACTCGGCGCGGACAGGGCCGAGAGGGGAAAGACAAGGTCCCCCGAGGATGCAACAGAACCTTTCGTCGGGCATGCTCCTCTACAGGAGGGATATTCCAAAATGGCTAAAAACGGTTCCTTATTTAGGCGTACTTTTGCAACATTGTTGGACTACTTGTTTGATCTGTCGTCCAAAATCCGCCTGCAGGGGGACGTGCCCGACCTAAACAGAACCTCCTCCTTCTCGGCCGCCCCCTCCTCATCCTTCCGTGCGCTGCCCCAAAAGTCGGGGGCGGCAAAGAGGGGGGTGATGACCAGGGCGGGGGGGGGGGGGGATCTCATGGCGTGGGCCATGATGCTTCCCCAGATTTCATGGCGCCCTTTCTTGTTTCATCACATCCCTGGCCGCCCCTTTGGCCGCGCACGTGCCGCCGGCCATGATTTGCACCCCCCCTCTTGGACGCCCCCCTCTTGGCCGCCCCCGTAAAAGGGGGGGGGGAGAGAGAAGGCGGGCCGCGGCCCCGCGCCGGGAGCTCGAGCTCCGGGGGGCCGCTCGAGCTCGAGTCGAGCGGGCGGGGGGGGGGGGGGGACAAGCAGTTGCATGGACACAGAATTGAGCCGGGCCTGTTCCCCTACAGGAGGGGCATCCCAGAGTCGTGAAGAGATTATGTGGGGACTGTTTTGTTTTTCACATCGGGTTTATGCTTTAAGAACATTGCCTTCGTTCTTCGAACAGTTTTGGGTTCTAAGAACATCTGGTGGTAGGACTATAGGAGTGCCGGGGCTGTCGGTCCCTGCTCAACTCCTCATCCCTTCCACGCGCTGCCCCACATGGAGGGGGGGAGAGAAGGCGGGCCGCTGCCCCGCGCCGGAAGCTCGAGCTCTCTCTGGGGGGCCGCTCGAGCTCGAGCCGAGCGGGTGGGGGGGGGGGGACAAGCACTGGCACGGACACAGGATGAAGCCGGGCGTGCTCCCCTGGAGGAGGAATACCCAAGAATCGTCCAGGAAAAATAGGGGGACGATGTCTCTACCATTTTTAGCTACTTTTTGAACATGTTTGAAGATCTGTAAGCATCCCAGTGCGACCCTACCTAGGAGTTGGAGCATCTAGGATAGCAACATCTACATCTACACCGACAGCTACATTAATATCTACACCTGCATCTACATCTACATCAACATCAACAGCAAAAAGCTAAGCTAAGATGAGATAAGCAACGCTAAGCTAAGGGGACGTAACTGGGGGAACCGCGGGGCGGATACTGGGGGAACCGTCCGGGGCGCTTTCCACTGCCCGGCCCCTTTAAGCCCAGAGAGTAAGAACCCTTCTAGGCAGAGCCTAGGCAGGGAACTCTCGTCCAGAATCCGCCTGCAGGGGGACATGCCCGACCTGAGCATAGAAGTTCGCCGCAGGTCCGCGCGGACTTCTCCGGTCGGCGCTGGAGCCCCCCTTTGAGTGGCGCTTCCGGCGCCGCCCCCGGCGCGCTCCTGCGCCGATTCAAGAAATCCGCGCTGGCCTCCTCCTCCTCCTCCTCCTCCTCCTCCTCCTCCTCCTCCTCCTCCATCCTCCTCCTCCTTCTCCTCCTCCTCCTCCGACAGTTTCTGCTCATGCATGTTTGTTCTTTTTCGAGGGACGGGGATACGGGCGTTGTGTTGAGTCGGGCGTGTCCCTCTACAGGAGGAGTATCTAAAAATAGGCAACACAACATACCCTGGTGACGATCTTTTTAAGATATTTTAGAATATGTTTTGAATATGCTTCATTTTTTTCAAAAATCTGCCTTTAGGGGGGGGACATGCCCCACCTGAGCGTCGTGACGAAACATCATCGCGACATCATGTTTCTGTGCATCCTCAGCCTCCAGTGGACCTCGCCTTGCCCCCGCTCCTTCAGAGAACTCGGTTGTTCAAAGATGGGGTCCTGAGGGATGGGGTCCTGAGGTCGGCGAGTACGAAGGTCAGGCGATCGCAACCATGGAGCCCGTTTCCATTTGAAATCGCGGATTTCCGCCGCCGAGCGAGGTGGCACCGGCCGCACATTGGGGAGGGCACTTCCCCCGATCCATGGATTTGGCGACCGCGCGCCAAATCCATGGATCGCTAATCCATGTTTGCGCGCCCCCGTAAAGGGTATGGTTATGCCTGGGTGTGGCTTGCGATCGGCGCCGTTGGGGCCTGGGGGGCATGACACTGTCCTCGTCGGGCCTCCTCGGGGCGCGACGGAGAGTTCTGTCGAGGTCCCCGCCTGCTCCCAAGGGTGCCCCCGAGGGTGCCGGTTGCAAGCCACACCCTTTATATACCACACCCTTCGGAGTCGCCTATTAGGGTCCAAGGGTGGATTTACGTTGTTTGAGGCACCTCGTCCTCAGGACCGCATCCCTCAGGCCCCCATCTTTGAAGCATCGACGTACGATCTGGGATGGATCAGCGATCCAGGGGAAGTGGTCCAAGCCTTTTGGGGGGTCCACTGTCAGAACAAAACAACGCTACAATAACAAACAACTGAAGAGAGTTACGCTGCAGGCTCGAGCCTTCGGGGTGCAAAAAGCTTGAGCTGAGCGGAGGGGTCAGGGGCAATGTCAGGGGGGAGGGTACTCGGCGCAGGGGGGGGGGCGAGTTCAGCAGAAACCCAGGCCAACACCCTGCTTGCCTCCAGGGTGCCCTGGGTTTCTTGGGTTTGGATGGTTTTGCTATGGAAAACGTGACGCTCCCACACCAAAAATCAATGGACGTCCTGCGGTCTCAGGGTTGGGTTTCTTGTGGAAGGTTTCTTGTGGTCGAGCTCCTATGGTATTTTCACAATCGAAATCGAGATTTGAGGTTTTCGGCATTCTCGTCGCTTCTCGGCGGTATTATAGCCTCGGGGTGCCTTCCAGCGGCCGCGCCGCGCCGAGAGCGTTCCGGGGGGGTGCCCGGATTGCCCCGATTGCTGCCAGAGGCCCGAGGTGTGACCCGAAAACCATTCGGATCAGGGGCAACGTTCATCATAGGGGGATACACGCTGCTCATTTCGGAGTATTCGGAAGTTCTTTGATTGTGCAGGGGGGCCAAGACCCTTGCATTTCTGATTGTTCTGTCCTGGGTCTCTGCCTGGCCACTCGGGGGCCAGGAGCAATTAGAAACGAGCACAATTAGAAATGAGCAGGATTAGAAGTGAACGACGTGTACAGGTCGCGTCGAGGGTGTACTTCCCGTTCATTTCCCAGCTGAGCTGGCCGTCGGGCCTGCGCCAGGGCACGTGGCCCTCTGCGTAGCGCTCTCCCGGCGATCCAGGCCACAGGCAGCATAAACAGGGCGTGTTTTTGTGAAGTCGTCTGTATAGTCCCTCTCCTTTGTCCGTCCGTTCGTCATCGCTGCTGCCAGCGACAACGACTGCAAGACCTCTGCTGCCTGCGGGTGGCCTTCAAGTGCAGACCCAGCGCTCTTGTTTGAACCTGCACGCCGCGCATGCATGCTGACCTATCGCTGACCACAAACCTCTGTTTACGCATGAGTCGCGCACTGTCGGAACGACCAGAGCGTCCTCGTCCCTGCTGCCTCTCCTTCTCCTCTTCGTTCCTTCCACTACCCAGCTCCACGCCCATTCCTCCCTCTCCGCCTCCTTCCTCCGCTCTGGCGAACCTGCGGTCGGACGCCTTTGCGCAGCGTGTAGCGCCGCTGGTTCTGGCCGCCTCGGCGGCGCGACACGCTCCCCGCGTCCCCGTCCCCGAGCGTCCGCGTCCCGGGTCTCTCTCGGCCTCCCGCGCGGCGACGCGGAATGACGCGTGGCCCGCTTGCACGGCACGGCGTGTCGCCGGGGCGGCCTCGGCGCGACACGTTGGGCAAGAACCCTTCGCGTTGCGGCTTGAGCTCTCGAGGAAGGGAGGATGATGATGATGATGAGGAGGAGGAGGAGGAGGAGGAGAAGGATGATGATGATGGGGAGGAGGAGGAGGAGGAGGAGAAGGAGGAGGAGGAGAAGGAGGAGAAGGAGGAGGAGGAGGAGGGGGAGGAGGAGGCGGAGGAGGAGGAGGAGGGGGAGGAGGACAAGCTAGGTGCGCTCGCGTCATATCTGACGTCCTACCCCTCCCTCCCATCCCTTACCATGGCGCTGATTTTCTCTATCCGCGGACGCGTGTCGTAGCGGACCTGTGGCTCCGCGCGCGCGTGCGTAGTGGGTGGTGGTGCGCGTGCGTGCGTGCGTGCGTGTGTGCGTGGTTGTGGTGGTGGTGTGGTGCTGGTGCTGGTGCTGGTGCTGGTGCTGGTGCTGGTGCTGGTGCTGGTGCTCGTGCTGTGCTCGTGCTGGTGCTGGTGCTGGTGCTGGTGCTGGTTGGTGATGGTGGTGGTGGTGGTGGTGGTGGTGGTGGTGGTGGTGGTGGTGGTGGTGGTGGTGGTGGTGGTGCGGCGCGGTGGTGGCGGGCGGATGGGCGCGCGAGAAAGAGGCCCGCGCTGGGGCGAGAACGCCATCCTGAACGACGGAGGCCAAACACCGATCCGAAAATGAGGCCCACGCTGCAGCGGGAGCACGATTCGGAACGATTCGGGAGCAGAAATGAGGCCGGCGCCTCAGCGAGAGCATCATTTAAAAAAAACGCAGGCGAAAACCCGTTTCCCGGGAATCCTGTGTGTAAAAAAACAGTACGCGGGGGGCGTTCGGCCCGAAAATGACGCCGGCGCCTCAGCGAGAGTCGTTTCCCGGGATTTCCCGGGCATCCGGTGTGTAAAAAAACCGTACGCGGAGAATGCGCGGCCATCACCCGGACGCCATCAGGGGAAGAGGGAGAGTATTTTCATATTGAGTAATTGTGGAGGAGGAGGAGAAGGTGAAGGAGGAGGAGGAGGAGGAGAAGGAGGAGGAGGAGAAGAGGAGGAGGAGGAGGAGGAGGAGGGTCATGGAGGGGCAGCGGGGATGGTGCACAAGCGTCGCAGCAGTGCAGGGGGGCTCCGCGGGCGCAGGCGGAGGCGGGCAATGCAGAGCCTCGGTTCGAGAGTCGTGTCGGAAGGAGGGCGTGGACCGGGCGGGCGAGGCGAGCGACCAAGAAGGATTGTCCATGATCCGCAGGACCTGGCGCGAGGCCCTGCGGGCGCGCCTCGTGGCCCGGCAGGGGCCCCCGGAACGAGGCCAGTGCATGTGCATGGTGCGGCGGCGCGTCGGGCCGCCGCGTTTCCCCCTCCTCCCCTTCCTCCCCCCCCCCCCCCTCGCCGCAGGGCTTCTCCCGCTGCTTAAAAGAAGTGTGCTAGCCCAATGTGTGTGTGTGTTGCCCCCTTCAGCCCAACCGGTAGACGACCATCACATCGCCTGCGTCGTATCGAAGGGACTCAATGGACAAACACACGTTTGGGGCCAACGCACGTTCTGAGGATCGGCGCCAGCAACGGGAGCGCCAGGCTCCGCACAATGGCCCGAAGCAGAGAGGTGGGAGGGGACGAAGGTGGGGGTGTGGAGGAATACGGTGGGTGCGTTGGCCAAGGAGTGTGCCCAACCTGGGAGGGTTCAATGCCTCATGAGGGCGGCAGTGGTATCCATGGCTCTACTGGCTTCCAGACCCTGCGCTCATTCATCCAGTATTTCCTTATTCAGTGCCCCTGCCGTATGGAGGAGAGGGCAGGGGTGGGAAGGGACGGGCGTAATCCGAGGATGGTCGGGGGGGGCAGGAGGGGCGCAAAAGTGGAAGCGCCATAACAGTCAGGTGTGCAGGGCAGAGGGAGGCAGGGCAGTATGGCATCGATCTGCGGGTGGGCAAGGAGAGCCTGTCGGAGATGCCCAGGGGGGAGTGGACTGGTGATGCGTTTCCTGTCCTCGAAGACGATGAAGAATACGGAGAAACAAACAAACAAACATTCAACACAAAACTAACAGTAGTCATACTAATATTAATACTTCGAATAATCATACGAATAATCATCATATTAATAATAATAATAATAAACATAAAAATAATAATAATAATAATAATAATAATAAGAATAAGAATAAGAATAATAATGGCATACGCAAGGTTTCGACGGTCCGCGCGGATTTCTTGGATCTGCGCTGGGCCCCCCTCTCCCCTGGCGGCGCCCCCTGCGCCGCGCCGTGCGCGCTCGGAGCGCCAGAGAGGGGGGGTGGGGGAGGCAGCGCCGAGATCCGTCTGGACCTCCAGCAGTCAATGTCTATGCAACTGCTTGTCCGTCTATTTCCCACAGGCGCCTGGCATGAATTTCGGGAATGGCTATTACAATGACCACCACTTCCACTACGGGTACTTCGTGTATAGCGCTGCCGTTGCGGCCAAGTACGCTCCGAAGTGGGAGGAGGACGCGAGTTTTTCTAGCCTGGCCTTTTGCTGGGGGGCTTCTCGCCACTCTCTGAAGAGCCAAGGGTTGGCCCTGGCCAGGGCATTTCTGCACATCGATGACTCCGGGCGGAAGACTGCTCTCGCCCGTTGCATGAAAGTCCTGGCATGAGGGTCACCCTCTCGCCCCTGCTTGGCGCTTCTCTGTGACAGGGGAGTGTAAGCTTGGGTTTGTTTTTGACGTGTCCGCTGGGAGATGTGGATCCCCTTCCCCGGCGTTACAGCCATTCCAACCCTCGCCTGGTGTCCACAATCGGATGGCGCGGCACTTAGAAATACGGCGGCTGATCATACTCGAACGCCAGCCCCAGAATTTTGAGTCTTGTGTCTGACTGATGTTTGCGCCGCAAGGGAGGACTGAGTGGAGGGAGAGAGTCCGCTTAGAGAATGCGCAGCCATGACTGCGCTGCCGACTCCATACTTTCTGTGGGAATCGTCACGCTCGCTTGGAGGAGTGTCCTCTTTGTCATGCTTTGGAGAGGTTTCTCGTCAGGACTCCATCGTGACACCTCGTGCAGCACGGAACGTCTGTCTGGCGCACTGCTCCGCCGATGCTGGCGCACCGCTCTACGACGCGACACGCTAGCCTTCGGTCGGGCCTGCCCCTCTACAGGTGGAAGATTCAGAAATCGTAAAGCGATAGTCCGGGGACGATTCTTTGACTATTGTTGCCCATTCTGGGGCTTTGAAATACTCATATGTTGTGCCACTTGTGTTCTGTTGATCCCTGCTTTGAAAGGGTTTCAGGGGCATGGTGTGCGCGGTATGGTGCAACAAAGAGGTTGCATTTGAGACGCGTCTTTTTCCTCATCTGTAGTGTCATTTTGTTCTGGGAAACGAAGACAAAACGAATCTCGTGCGCTGGGGGAAAAAAACAAACAACAAATTGTTGCCCATTCTGGGGGTATTGTTTGAGTATTTTTTATGTTTCCCCCGCACTCCCCCTGTAGGGGGACACGCCCGACCTAAGGCGAACCATGTCCCGACCCGGCCCCAACAGGCCCACTGTCCCGGGCTTTTCCCAGCCTCCCGCCCAGCGAAGCGGAGCGACACGCTGTCAGCTCGCAGGACACGGCGTGTCGCCGGGGCAAGAGTCCATCATTACCAGCCTGGAACATATCCTTATCCCCATGCTGGGCACCTCCTCATTACGATGCCAATCTTAGGGATTCCCTTATTTTTGAGGGCGAATCCCTAAGATTGTCATTGCCTTTTGGCGTGTCAATCTTAGGGATAGGGATACGTTCGAGGCCGGTAACATCACCGTAATTCGTTGTATCGGCAAGGACGGGGAGGAGCGGCGAGCAAAAATACAGCGTCGTGGGGGATCACGGCCAGAGCCCTATACAGACAGCATCTCTCTGCTGCATTTTTGAAGCCGGATTGATCTGTGAGCGCCCCGGGGCCCGAACCCCGCAGCGAAGACGCCCAGCGCGAACAAAATCACAACGTGCAGATCTCGGGGCGGGGCGTGCTCGGTCCCCCGAAGTTCCGACCCTTTCCCGAGGGCCAGGTTTTATCGCGAGTCGTCTTCTGACGGTCCCAGACGCAGACCCCCGACGTCGTGTTTTCTCACGACGTCGACCCCCAGGGGTCTCGATCCATGCCCCGGACCAGTTTCTCATTCAGAGTCGTCTTTTGACGGTCCCGAGTGCTGGTAAGTGCCCCCAACCGAGAATAGCCGACCGAAAAACTTCGCGTCGTGATCTAAGGCCTTACAACCAGTGCCGCCAACCCTGAAGGCCTCGGCCCTCGACGGAAATGGGAGGGAGAGGGCGGGCCATGTGCCCCGGGAGGGTGGTATCCCGACCCGGGACCACCCCCCCGGGACGCCCCCCCCCCACCGTCCTTCCGGGGCTTCCCTTCGACTCAATGGCAACAATTCTTAATTTCGCTTTGGATGGGCTGGTGTACTTCGCTTTGGCTGGCGTGCTGCTTGAGGACGAGGGGGGGAGCGGCGACGGACTCGGGGGAAGGTGGGGCCATGGAGGGCGGCGGCGACGCGACGGCTGCCACGCGACAGCGACGGCGACAGCGACGGCCCCTGTCGCACGCCGGCGGGGTCGGCGGATTTTTGTTGCCCGACCCCGCGCGGCCGGGCAGGAGTGGCGCGAGCAGATCTTGGCCCTGGCGGGGGCCCCAGTGCCGGACGCCTGGCGCCCGGCGGATCCTTGCCCGACCCCGCGCGGCCCGGGCAGGTGTGGCGCAGGCAGCGCTTGGCCCTGGCGGGGGCCGCAATGTCCCAGACGCCCGGCGCCTCGATGCCTTCGGGGCGCGGGCGTCCGGCCCCTCGACCACTTCTCCCTGGGGCCGGTTGCTCAGGACATGCCTTTTACACATTTTAGCACACTTGTAATTCAGTGAGAATTGATAGGGTGTCCATTGTCATGGCATCCACAAGTCTACAGCCCCAGACCCAGGCTCAGAGGAGGAAAGGGTACTCAGACCTCTTTCCCCTGTAGGCAGTTTTTCCCTGTGGGGGCCTCGTCGACCCACCGCTGGAATCGCCTCGAAATTCCGGTCAGAACGCACCCCGTGAGAGGTCCGGGGGGCATCGACACCAGGTCCGGAACCAAACGGTAGTTTGGTGATTTCGTGGCCCGTTTTTGTTTCGACTTCGTTTCGCGGCAAAGGCGGATTGAAGACTCAACGAGGGAAAAAGGAAACAAAACGAAAACGAAAAACAACGTTTAGGTTCAGCCCTGATCGACACCGTTTGGTTTCCCCACAGACTCCCTCGAGCCATGAAGAAATCACGCCGCGAGATTTTTCGGCAACGTTCCGCCTCTGGGGGCCCTTGCTGGGCCGCGGGACCGTCAAACAATTGCTCCAGATGAGAAAACCGGTCCCCGGGGAATGGGTCGAGACCCTTAATTGGGGGTCGACGCCATGAAAAGATCATGACGTCGGGGGTCCGGGGAGCCTATATCCTCAGACACGGCAGCGTGGCTCCGATTGCGACTCCCGTCCGATTCCGGCTCGCACGTCTATCCAGGTCCCGCTCGCTCCTCTCGGGATGAATTTCGCGGACGCCGCGGCCTGGCCCCTCTTTGGCCCCGGACCGCCCCCCCCGGGGTCCTTGCGGAGCCATTTGGGGCACTTTTAGGACCCTCCCTCTTGGGTCTCATCTTTTTGGGGGTCCGGGGCCCTCCTGGAGCTCTTTTGGGTGGTCTGGGAGACCTCTTGAGGCAATTTTGGGCTCACTGTTCAAAAAGAGGGGTGGTCAGAAATTAAGGTCCCCCCTTCGGCGGCTCAAAAATGGCGTCTGGGGGCCGTCTTGGGGCACTCTTGGGCGCTCTTGGGGCAGTCTTGGGGTCTATCTTGGAGCTGCTCTCTTGGGCCATCTGGGGGCCATCTTGAGGGCGAGGCCCAGCAGATCCGAAAAAGCGAGAAGGCACAAATCATACTTCTTCCTTAGGGTTTGGAGCTAATGTTGCCTCTTGGGGGGTCCTTGGAGGGCTCTGGGGGCACTTGAGACTGTTTTGGGGTCGTCTTCAGTTTGGTTCTTCTTAAAAGCGCCCTGCGCGTTTTTTTCCCTTTTGTATGTTGGGCTCTTGACAAGCTCAGAACGTAAGAAACACAACGCGACGGTGCTTTGTAGCGCAGTTTGTTCAGGGTCCGTTAAAATGGGTCAGTGTTTGAGTTGTTTGCTTTCTTATCGAAGGCTTTTCCTTGTCTTTCATGCTATCGTTAGCCCCGATGTTTCGTTTCTGTCGTCGGTCTCCCTTTCAGAGCGAAAATAATCAAACAAAAACGCTCGAACGCTGGTCTAACACCGACCCGAAACACGCCTGGAGGCCCGATGACCCCAGGATGGGGAATCGGCATACGGGCCCGCCAGACTGCACTCTAGGAGAAGAAACTAAGAACGTTGTAGACGGCAATGTTAAACTCTGCAACCAAAGAATCTGAACACGCTTAGAAGCAACGCAGCTGAAAACGCGCAGCATGCATCGTCTGTTTAACGTTTTGAATTTTCTGGTTGGAGCCTGAAAGCGCGAACAGCAATACTTTCCAAAACGCCGAGTTAAACAAAACAACATGAAACAAATAACCAAATAAAACAACGATTGTTTCTTATACACAAAGGCCCTGGGCGTATTTAAGAAGGACGAAGGTCTCAGGCCTCTTGAATGTGTGCCAGAGGCTATCTTGAGCCATCTTGAGCTATCTTGAGCCATCTTAGAGGCCATCTTGTCCCCAAGGTCCTCCTGGAGCCATCTTGGGCCATCTTGGACGCTCTAACTACCCGCGCCCCCCCCTCCCAGGCCCAGGGGAGGGGGTATGGGGAGGGGTCAAGTCACCCCCTCCCCGCCCGCAAGCCGTCTCGCTCACTCCCACCCGCCCTCCCAACACAGACGTAGCACCCGAGTCTGGCCCGAGGCTCAGCATATTCAGCAGTCGTCTTTGGATGGGCAGCTACTTGGGGCCAATCCGCCGCCGCCGCCGCCGCCGTCGCCGCCGCTGCCGCCGCCGCCGCCGCCGCAGCCGCCGCCGCCGCCGCCGCCGCCGCAGCCGCCGCAGCCGCCGCTACCGCCGTCGCAGCCTCCGCAGCCGCCGCCGCCGCCAAGTGTACTCTGTATTGTTTTTTGACAGGGATGGTGGGGGGGGGGCGCATCGGGTTGGCTGCGCATGTTCCGAATTTGGAGGCAGAGTGTGTTTTGTATTGTTTTTTACCAGGGATGGTGGTGGGGGGGTTGGCATGGACCCTGGTTGGCCCCCAGTCGCCTGGGGGAGGGGGTGTTTGTCAATAGGGAACAGTGATCAAGCGACCCACCCGCCCGCAAGCCGTCTAGCTCACTCCCACCCGCCCTCCCAACACATGAGTAACACCCTAGCCTGAGCATGTTCAGCGGTCGTCTTTGGATGGACAGCTAGTTGGAACCAACGCCGACCCCAGGTGGGCGACGCTTGGACGAGAGGCGCCACGCGTGCCAGGGGCGCCACGCGCGTCAGGCACCCCTGGGGCCCGAGCGTGCCAGACACGCCTGGTGCGCCAGATGCGCCACGTGCTCCGAGTGCGCCAGGTGTGCCACACACTCCAGCCGCGCCAGGTGCGCCATTTTCGGGGCACGTGCAGACTGCCTCCGGTGCGCCTCCGCACGTGACAGCACAAGCATTGGAGTTACTGGTTGTGCGCAATACGATGCGGTCCTCTTGGGTGCCCTAGAAGAAAAGGTACCGATACCGCTACTCCCCGGGCGTGTTCTGACGAGTTCTGCCGCGGTTACGACGGAGGGGTAACGGCATCGGCACCTGTTCCTCCTCAGAATCCTTCCTCCCTGCTTGCTCCCATAGGCTCCGCCCTTGGCGAGGCCCCTATCAGAGAGGGCGCCAGCAGCAGTGGGGGAGGGGGGGCCAGAGCACTCAGGGCTCCACAGTACACAAAGAACCAACATCTCCGATCGGAGGTCAAAGTCCTTAGCTTGGAAGCTTTGGGTCCTCTGCGCGTTCTTCCTCCCCCTCCCCTGAGATCCCAAACCTCCCCAGGTTTGAGAATCACGCAACATGTTTTTGCTGCGCAATTTTCAGCACATGGGGGCCCTCGCCAGGACCCGGAACCGTCAAAAAGCGACTCAGGATGAAAAGCTGGTCCAGGGGAATTGGTCGAGACCTCGGGGGGTCGACGTTGTGAAAAAATCATGACGTCGGGGGTCTGGGATCCTGGCGTTGCTCTTTGTTCACGCCGGGCATTTCCGCCGAAATTCGATGCCTGGGGACCTTGACAGACCGATCCGGCGCTCGCGACATGCCACAGAAATATTGGATCTGGAGATCTCGAGCTCTGGTTGTGATCTTCCACGACGTTGAGTTTCTGCCCGCGATCCCCGCCTCCCCTTACAGTCGCGGCGTTGACCTAAGGAACCCTAAATAAGGAACGAGGCCTCTTGTTCCCATAAGTTAAGTTTTTATTCCCCATGGGAAACGAAAGGAAAACCCAAGGCAAACTGTACACCTATCAAGGAACACCAAGCCCCTCCCCAACGAAAAGGGTGTCTTCTTCAGCGCCCCGACTGTAGACTGGGCGTCGCAAACAACATCGCGACGGCCAGTGGCCCAAGGTTGGCAGCTGCCGCTGCCAAAGCTGTTGGATCCGCTTCTTCCACAACACGAACCCTCATCCGTGGAATGCTATCCTTCGTCATTCCTAGGTCCCGCAATGCATGATATAAGCAGTGGCCGTCTTTTGGAGTTCCCGGATCACAGCGCCTCCCGTAGGGAGCCAAAGCTTCATCGAGCTGATCCATGGTGATTTCCACAACCCTTGGCTCTTGAACTGCATCTGCCGCGGGCCTCTTCCAGAGGAGGGTTGGTCGATAACTGGCGCGAATCGGTGGCGCATCGTCCGAGTCGACGCCGCTGGAACTTGAGCTGTCCTGGCCGTCGCTCGCATCAGATTCGTCTTTCTGTGCGTCCTCGGGGTGCTTCTTCTCGGTCTGGAGTTGACGACGGTATACAGTGAGCGGCTTGACTAAGGAACACTCACTTTTCAAAAGGGGCTCGGCCGTTCCTTAGGCTTGCATGCGTTATCTACAGTTCCTGATGGATTATTTGTTATTTATAGTTCCTTATGCGTTATTCCTTAGGATAAAAAAGGGGCTTCGTTCCTTATGTATCGTTCCTTAGGTCAGGCCGATGACTGTACCTTTCCGGATCTTGGGAGATGTAGGGTTCGATTGTTCTCTGGGCCTGTGGAGCCGTGCGTGATACCATTCCAGCACTCACACCACTTGTGGCACTAGAAACGCTCCTCTCTCGATAACCCTTGTGAATCCAGACGCTCAGCATCACTTCGAAGCCAATCTCGGAGTTCTCGCCAGCAGGCCGTGAGTGGTGCAGACCGTTTCGAGGGGGAATCGGCGTACTCTGTGTTCTCCTCTGGGGACAGATATCTGCGCCATTTCCAGCTGTCGGCGCGCCTCTGGTACCACGGCTGGGATTCTTCCCTGCGCGCTTGCGTGGAATTCTGCTAAAACTCCAACGAAAAGCTACCAGCTTCTGTCCAAGCGAAACAACGCTCCTGTTCAATTCTGCATTGATTATCCACGCCAGCTCCTGCCATCTAACTTCCAGCTCTGGTTCTACAACACACCCTTTCCACATATTTAGGTCACTGCCCATTTTCTTTAGAATACCATTGAATGACTCCCCTAGGTTGGTTGTGGTACCATCGGCAGTAACCCATTCAATAGAATGGTTGACGGTCTGAGCTCGAGCGAAAACGTGTGGGAGGCGCGCCCACTCGGAACCTTGGTCCGATACCAGGGAGCACGATGGGTCCAGCATTGTCAACAAGACATGATTGTTGTAAGTTGCTTCTTTGCTAAGGGCACGCTGCACTCGCAAAGTGCCTGCAAGGTACCGTCGGGCACACTGGAAAACACGGAATGCTACCACCACTTGGAACATGTAGCTCTCGAATTTCAAGGGTCGCGCTGAAATGCCGGAGCGAACCCGCCGTCGGTGGGGTCCCCAAGTTATATCTACAATGCACTCTTCGTTAGATATATTTGGCAAGTTCTGTTGATGCCACGCAACTGGAATTCGCAGTTTGCTCCACAGAGCTGACACAGTACTGTCGCATATCTTCAATTCTCGGGCCGTCCTGCCAACGCCAGTCCCATCCAAGCCAGTGTGCAGCAGCTTTCAAAGTCTTAAACCAGACCCAGCTTGTTTCTGCTTCCCTCAAACGGCGTTCCATTGAAATCAACAGAATGGTGCATTTGACAGCGGCCGCATCTAGCTGAAGCTATCGGGCCGTGGCCTCGACCTTTCTTGGCCTGGCTCGCCTTTTGACTGGGTCTAAGTGTTGGGTGGGATGCGTGGCAGCTGCAATTCCCAAGGGGGCGTACTACCCCTGCAGATAGGAGGTCCTGGAGAAGTCCAGCTTCTTTCCTGCCGTCAAAGTGTTGTAGAAGTTCAGGTAATTTCATCCCAGTAACGGTAGAAACCAACCGATCTCGGCGCATCCTGCAAGGGTATTGATGGTGGCGGTGGTGGAACAACTGGTTCGGGTGGAAGTGGAGCAAGTCGTCGTGCAGGTGGCTCCGGACCCGTTCCTGGTGGTGCTGACGGTTGGGCTGCAAGCGGAAGGAGTCGACGTGCAGGCGATTCGTGTCCCGATCCTGTTGACCCCTGAGGCCAGCGCAGGCTGTGCCTGGTTGGAGCCACCTCTCCCGAAGAATGCGTTCACATATCCATCATGGGTCGCGAGGTGTGCGAACAACAGCTCTGAAGGAATTGGCAGAGCACAGTAAGGACAGGACGTCAAGTTCGAAGGTTGAGCCATTGTGGTCTGCATTACGGGATGTTTGAATTCACCCAGGACACACCCGGGAAAGACCCAAACGGACCCGGAGATCCCCAAACGGACCCCGACTACACCACAGAACATAAGCAATAACACACCCAAAACACACCCAGGAACACGCCCAGAACACCCCCAGAAGCACATCAGGTCACGTCCAGGACACACCCAGGAACACACCCAGAACACACCCAGGAACACACCCAGACCACGCCCAGAACGCACCCAGACCACACCCAGAACGCGCCCAGATCACACCCAGAACGCACCCAGGAACGCACCCAGAACGCACCCAACCCACACCCAGAACGCACCCAGAACGCACCCAGACCCCACCCAGAACGCACCCAGACCACACCCAGAACGCACCCAGAACGCACCCAGACCCCACCCAGAACGCTCCCACACCGCACCCAGCACCCAGAACGCACCAAGAACGCACCCAGACCACACCCAGACCACACCCAGAACGCTCCCACACCGCACCCAAAACGCACCCAGAACGCACTCAGGGACGAACCCAGCCGCCCAGAAGCCGCCCTGAAGCCTCCCAGAAACCCCAAAAGGCCGCCCAAAAGCCGCTCAGAGGCCTCCCTGAGGCCGCCCATTGGCCGCTCAAAGGCTTCACTGGGGCCGCCCAATAGCCGCCCAAAAGCCGCCCAAAAGCCGCTCAGGAACCTTTCCGACGCCCCCCAGAAGCTTCGTAAAAGCCTCCATGGACAAGCCAGCTCTAGACCAGGCCACCATTGCCTCCTACACGTGGTCTTTCGACAAGGCCAATGTGGTACTTTACGCTGTGCCAGAAAGCTTTAGATTTACTGCTCCTCTGCGGAGGAGTGGGCAAGTCTAAACGACCAAACATTTCTGTAAACAGTTGTGGACCCTATTTGTTTGAGTATTTGTTTGACCTTGTTGTGGCATTTGGGGTTTTTATTTTTCGTCGAAAATCCCCCTGTAGGGGGACAGGCCCGACTTAAGGGTTTCCAGAATCCGTCACATGTTTGAGGCCGCCGCCTTCACGCCATGTCCAATGGGCGCGGGCGGGCGTCCCCAGGGAGCACGCACGGCTCCAGCGTTTGCGGTGCGCTCCGTCGCCTGCCCCCCGACATATCTCTTGCGTGCCAGGGCCCGCGGCGTGTCGATGGCGTGCGCAGCGCTTCTGTGCGCCAGGGTCCGCGACGTGTCGCCGGCGTGCGTAGCGCTTCTGTGCTCGCGATGTCCAGCCTGCGCAGGCGTGGGGTCGTGGAGGCGTGCGGCGGCAAGGCGGTGTCGAGGGCAGGGCCGCGTCCGCGCCGCCCCTGCCCGAGGTCAGGGACTACGCGAACCCCTCGGCCGAGGACCCGCACTTCCCGGTGGCGCGCCATAAGGACTGGTTCTTGGGCATCTCCTGGGCAGGGGGCATCCCGCAGGCGCCGCTGGGAACGGGTGGGGGGCTTCCCAGGCGTGAGTCGAGCGGGGCATCCCTGACGCGAGTCGAGCGTGGCGCTGCCATCTTATCAAGCGTGGACGTTCGGGCGGTTTCACGATGAACATTTGTCAGCAAGTGCGTACCGCGTTTCTCCTCGCAGTGCTTGCGAATGGTGCATAAGCAACTGCTTGCCAGAGCTCCTCCAGGGCGGTGTCACCGCCAGATCCCTCCTGATGCAGCGCGCAAGCATACACCGCGAACTGAGACAGCAGCTCCACTTTTGACTCGGAATGGTGCTTTCATGTTTCAGAACGAAGCGAGTTGCGACAAACGGTAGTTGGCCACCTCGCCGCCACGGCTGGACGCAGCTCGGATTTGAGCTGCCGCTGTCTCAATTCGCCTTGCTCGGAATTTTAGCGCCGCCCAGGCTCTGAATCGTGAAGAACGCTGTCGCATCAACGCCAGCCGCACTGGAGCCTCGGAGCTGTGCTTTCGCCTGAGCGCCGCCCACAGTTCCTGCGGAGTAGTGCCTTCGGCGCTGGCCACATCCCTGACTCCGAATGGTGCGCTCTCCTCAGCGCCTTCCCCCTCACGCTGTCGCATTGGCGCCGGCCATACTCCTGATTGGGAAAAGCTCGTCGTTGCGCTGCCCATTTGTACATGCTGGTTGGGAATAGTGCTCTTGCCTTGCACTGTGGCGCCAGCCGCATTCCTGACTCGGACGTAATATCTGCAGTAATAGCAGCACCAGTGGTAACATCAGAAAGTATAGGAGAACGAGTGGCAATAGTAGCTGCACCAGTGGTATCAGCAGCAGTACAAGAAGCTGTTGCAGTGGCATGCGCGACAGTTCATTAGGTTCGCGTGTGTCACGCTTTACTTTGCTTAACGCCGGTTGGAGTCATTGGCGCGTCGGAGGAGAATCAGTACTGCAACAGCTGGCAGCAGCTGCAGCAGCAATAGCAGCCTGATCATACGCTCCCACGGATGTGGTTCAGAGCAGGAGCACCCACCGAGCCTACAAGACGTCCTCGACGGCGATATAGCCGCATGGTGCACCAGGCTCCCGCCATAGCCGTTGCCCACGCGCTTTCCTCTACGGAACACGGCCGCACATTTGCGGTTTCCGCGTCATGTGCCGTTCTGATGTTCGCACGTTTGTCCACAGGAGGTTTCTATGGCGATCCTGCGGTGAATGCTAGTGCCGAGGAAAACTGTGTTGTTTCGCGGTGCCCAGCCCTGCGTCAGCATTCGCGACATCGACCGCGCCAGGAACGCGCGGTGCTGATCGTCACTTATTTGTGCTGAGTCTGACTCGCGTACGGGGCGGGGCGCGGTTGACCGGCGACAAGCGCGCGAAGAGCTCCAGCCAAGTGTTACGGGCGTGCGCTCGTCATCGGCAAACATTGAGCCTTCGCTCGGTGCAGTTCTCGTCGTCGCGGATGGTGCACTGCGCAGTGGGAGGGGGCATTGCAGGGCCCGGCCGGGCGCGCGCCCCGCTTGCCAGCGAGGGCCATCGCTGCCGAGCGCTGCGCTCGCGACCCAGTTATCTGTGGGCTGCCCCGGAACGCATGTTCGATGCCTCTGGTGCGGTATCCGGGACAAGCGAGTGCTCTTCTTTCTTCTGTCTCCCACCCGCACCTCCAGTCCACCCAGGAGCTGGCCATTGCCCTCGCCCGCCCCTCCCATCGTGAAGGACATTTCGAGCTAATGAGGTGAGCGAGTGTTGCAGTAGGTCCCCACCAGCACCTTTGATGCCCAACATCCCACATGCCTCATCCCATGCTTAATGGCTTCTCACCCAACCCATCTCCGCCCACATGCTGCGTCCAAGACAGGGGGTCGCAAATCATGGGGCCTACAGCGCGTGCGCGGCCAAGGTTGGTGGGGGGGCACTGGACGTATTTAGCACAGGAGAGGGGGCCATGAAACCCTGGGAGAGATCATGACCGCGGTCGTAATATCCCCCTCTATCGGGCGCGACCCAACCGACCCCTACTTTGGCCAGCACATCCAAGCTTCCGTCCGACCGCATACATCAGCCTTGGGGTGAGGCGAGGGGAACGTCACGGAAGGGGATGGTTTGCTAGGAGTCGGTCAGGCCGCCCTTGACTTTAGTCCTCACCCCCATCCGTAAGTCTGGTTTTTGGCGGCCGTTCGGGACGATTGGGACACCCTCGGAAAGCTCTCGACGAGTCGCAGCTGATGAAAGGCTTCGCGAGGAGATGAAACCCTCAAGTACCAACTCAATGGAAGCTTCCTCCACCCCTCCCCGTTCGACGACGACCCCTCCTCTAGTCATCAAACCCCTTGTTTGCCAGCCCCGATGCCAGCGTACAGATTCTGCGTCAGGTTCTCGGTGGAGATGACGACGTCTCTCTCTCTCTCTCTCTCGCTCTCTTCCTCTTGTCTGACCAGCTGTCTTGCTCTTGGCCGCAGGCTTATGAGAACGGGCGGAACCAGGAAAGCACTTCGGAGGCCATCCACAGCTACTACGTCGCCCGCTCAGAGCCAGCCTTCGACACCCCAGCGTCTTCCGATGTGTTCCCCCTGGGTATGTTGTGTGTACGTTTTTTTGTCGCCGAACTGTGTACGGCATAGGGCAAGCGCGGTCACTCGCAATTTGTTGTAGCCTACAGGCGCTGTCTCCGTTGGCCCGCTTTGAATATAGCCCATCAGTGCACTTACACTGCCTCGTTGGAGTGTTTCCCGTTTTTACCGGCATCCCATTTGCATTCAGGAAAGAATTTGCCATCACACGCGTGCGTGATGTAAGTCACACACACACACAAAGTTGTGTGTATTAGTTTAGACCTGTTTCATCATCAGGCGCCTGGCTCCAGTGGGGTCTTATATTTCCCCTACACTGCCAGAGTGCTCCACTGATGCATTCTCTCTTCTTTGCAAGTCGCCTGGTCTTTCATGCGCACACTTAATGCAGTGGGCTGCACGGCCAACCCTATTGCTCTGTCAGCATGCTGCTCGGTGTCGTTGCCACCCGAGCTTACGTATCTACGACATGGTTACCCTTCAGGCAACGCTTTACCGTGCTGCACTGCCTGGGTCACATCGCAAAAGGCCGCTGACAAAGTGCGCGCGCGTGTGTGTGTGTGTGTGTGTGTTTTTGTGTGTGCGTTTGTGTGTACATGTGTGTGGGTGTCGGCTTCCGCGCGGTGTGCGCGATGCAGCGGCCGCAGCACGTCCACTCGGTGTCCTTTATGCTCCTGCACTCGGCACGCCGACCACCCGTGTCGCTCCACCCGGCCGCGCCGCGCGGGCACGTGACTCGGCCGTGGCGCCCGCCGGGTGGACCCACCGGCTGTTGCGAGATGGCTCTGCGTTCTGCTTGGCAGCTGGCCGTCCAGGAAGGCACGACAGGACCTGCTCGAAGGATCGCTAAGGATCGCTCTCCGGGGCCACACTGTTCTTCCCGGGGCATGGGCAATACGTGGTAACCCACATGCCTTTTGCACCGAGTGGCTCACCATGTGGCGAGGATGGGAGGGGAAGATGCCGAGAGGGGAATTCTATCAGGCCGACGTCAAGAAAAGGAGCTCGCGCATGCGCAGACGAGCCACCCCAGGCGGTGCTGGAGGCGCCGTGCCAGCACTGCCGTTCCACGCGAGCCGAGAGCGGACGGGCCAGAGTACGGCCAACATCCTGGACAGCGGGGCCATGCCGACGCCAACGATCGCAGGAGCACAGGGGAGGGGAGGCGGAAGAGAGGCGATGGGCGAGGGAGAATGAGAGCGACATGTCGGCAAGCACGAATCGCACGGTGCCGGAGCTGGGCGGCGCAGGGAAGGGGGAGCTCCCAGAGCGACCCGCCCGGGCGCCCCCGAGGCGGCGGCCGCCGCCCCCGGTGCCGCTCAGCCGAGGCCTGCGTGCGCTGGTCGCACTATTGCGGGCGAGGCTTCTTCAACGGCAGACGACGGCAGCGTGCCGCAGGGCTCACGGAGTGCATCGCGTTCCAGTTCTTCGGCTCCGTCCCGTGGCGCTGGGCTTTCTTTGTTCTGCCTGCGTCTGACGTACCTCGTTTTCGGAAGAGCATCGCTGCGCGATGGCGAACATCTTGGAAGCTCCTCTCCCCCGTCCTTCCCCACCTCGCCCTTCAGACCTTTCTCGCCCTCCACCGCCCCCGTTCGTTCCCTTGTTCCCCTCTCCCTCTCCGCAGTCCGTGTTGGACCCCGGCCGGACACTGGCGCGCTTCTGATTTCCTTGGGCAGGAGGTCGGAAAGGGGTGTGGCATGAAGGGATGGGGTGCCAATCGTGGAAATGGCAATGCGATCTGCGATGAATAACATCGCCAGTGCCCCCTCGACCTACAATTAACACCACAACCGCTTATGCCATGCCCCTTTACTACCTCCAGACTTGGGCAGGGGAGCAGTGGGGATCGACATGGCTTGGACTCCTTAGGGGCTGCGCGCGAACGCCACCGCGGCTCGCGCCTCGCAGCCCGGGCCTCTTGGGCGCGATAGAGCGCGAAGACACCGCGGGGCGCGCCTCGGGTCTCCGAGATACCCTCCCTCCCGCCCTCCCTCCCTCCCTCCCTCCTCCCTCCCTCCCTCCTCCCTCCTGGTGGCCGAGGGCCCTGCCATGCTCGGGAAAGGGTCCGCAGAGCCCCAGAGTGTTGACCTTCGATCCTCGATCGCGCGCCACCTTGAGGAGGAGGAGGAGGAAGAAGAGGAGGAGGAGGAGGAGGAGGAGGAGGAGGAGGAGAGGAGGAGAAGG